GTAGCTCAGGTCACGCCGCAGGCCCAAGAAGAAGAAGAAGAAGAAGAAGCGACTCCAGAAGAGAAGAAGGGCGGGCGACGCGGCTGGTTCGGGTTCGGTCGGTAAGGACGCAGCCAAGGGTTGAGAATCTACACTTCAGTAGGGCACACTGTTTGATCGTTAGTTACATAATACCTTAGCCAAAGTGAATATGATGTGATGACTTGTTGCGCTGAGCGAAGATGGACTGAAACAGAATAACCAATGCAAGCAATCCTTCTGAGCTTTGGGTCGTAGCCATAGGATGAATGTGTATATGTCTATTCCGTACTAGCAATGAGTATCTGTACATGCTATGCCTAGGTGCCGTCCACTTTCAGAGACGCGCGATGCGTAACTCAAATTCAATTTCTCCTTCTTCCTACCGACTATAGCTACTTACCGAGCCACGAGGAACCTGCAACATGCTTCGATCAATTTGCACTACATGAACATCATAGTTGAGTCTGTTGAGATGCAGTCCGCACGGGCCATCCGGAAAAGCCGACCCGGAAGGTTGATAGCCGGATCACCTTTACCAACAAATGGTACGATTGCCATTGGTGATTTAGTTCCCTACCTGCCAGGTCCAGATGAAAAACGGACGGAGTGCACAGAGGCGAGATGAGGGTTGGAGACTGGAAGTTTATAGCTGACGAGTCATGAATCAGCAGTAACTTCAAATGTGTTACAGGCTCACTGCCACTGACCCAGTCTGCAGCCCCGAGTCAGTCTTCAAAATGAAGCGCTGTCGAGGCGGGCGGGCGGTTCCTGTTTTATACTCCTTTCAGACTAGTTTTCCATTCTCGAAGGCAGCAAATTTCCCCTTCAAGCAAGGCGCCTGTCAGGGTAAGTTTTTATGCAGGCGCATTATTACTCGACTGGGCGTACTATTGAACCACTGCATTGATAGGGAAATTACAGCTACTACTGCTGCTGGCTGCAGTGCCCTCCCTGTATGCCAGATGTAGTCAGTAGTCTACCGCGTACCTCTCAGAACATACTCTACTCTACTCATAGTCTCATAGTACTCATACAACTGCATACTTGGTCTATTGAGTCGTCCGCTTTCCCCCCCCCCGTGCTTCCCGCCCCAATCCCTATCAACTAATCAAAACACCCATTTTTCCCTCGCCAAATTAGAGTTGCGTCTCCCCTGGATTGGCTTCTTCTCTTCTTCTCCGATCTTTCTCTTCTTCAGTTCCCACTCTCTCTTTTCCTAGGTTCTTCCTTCCCCATCCCTTTCCATTCCTTCAACCCTCCCCCCTCCCTTTGCCAATTGTTGGAGAGCATCCTTCGCTTGCTCAATTCATTATCCAACATGGCCAGTCTCAATGGGAGTTTTGCCTCCCCGTCCGCGGACGCCGTGATCTCCCCCAGACTTTTCGAGCCCTCCGGCCTTGTCGCCACTGTCCTTGAGGGTTTCACCGTATGGAAGGCTTTGTTGACTTTGTTCATCGCTGCCGTGATCTATGATCAGTGTATGTTTTTTTTTTTTCCGGTGCACTTTCGCGTTCCTATCTGGAGTGCGCCAAGGTGGCTAACAGTCAGAACAGTCCGATACCTCTGGCTCAAGGGCTCGATTGTCGGCCCAGCATGGAAGCTGCCTTTCATGGGACCTTTCCTCCAGTCCGTTAACCCGAAGTTCCATGAATACAAGGCCAAATGGGACAGCGGCGCGCTGAGCTGCGTTTCCGTCTTCCACAAGTAAGTTTTCACAGGCTTTTGCGGCACATCTCGCGACTAAGATGGACTGGGAATCTGACTGGTTTGTCTTCAGGTTCGTCGTCATTGCTTCTACCCGTGACATGTCCCGCAAGATTTTCAACTCTCCTACATTTGTCAAGCCCTGTGTCGTGGACATTGCGCATAAGCTCCTGGGTGCAGACAATTGGGTGTTCTTGGATGGCAAAGATCACGTCGAGTTCCGGAAGGGTCTCAATGGCCTTTTCACCCGCCAGGCCCTTTCCTACTACCTTCCCCGCATGGAAGAGGTCTACAACGACTACTATGCTCGTTTCCTCCGGATTTCCAAGGAGAACAACTTCACTCCCACTCCCTGGATGCCTGAGTTCCGTGAATTGATGTGCGCTGTTTCCTGCCGTACTTTTGTTGGCCACTACATCACCGAAGAGGCCATCAAGAAGATTGCCGATGACTACTACCTGATTACCGCTGCTCTTGAGCTTGTCAACTTCCCCGTCATTCTGCCCTACTCCAAGGCCTGGTATGGCAAGAAGGCCGCCGACATGGTTCTGGTGGAGTTCTCGAACTGCGCCGCTAAGAGCAAGGCTCGTATGGCTGCTGGTGGAGACATCACTTGCATCATGGACGCGTGGGTCAAGGCTCAGCAGGATTCCGCCAAGTACCGCGAGAAGATTGCCCAGGGTATCGCTGTGGACTCGACCGAGAAGCCGCCTCAACTCCTCCGTGATTTCACCGACTATGAAATCGCCCAGACCGTGTTCACTTTCCTTTTCGCTTCCCAGGACGCCACCAGCGCCGCCAGTACTTGGCTGTTCCAGATCATGGCCGACCGCCCTGATGTGCTCGACAAGGTTCGCGAGGAGAATCTGCGGGTCCGCAACGGCGACATCCACGCTCCGTTGACCATGGAACTGATGGATAATCTGCCCTACACTCGCGCTGTTGTTAAGGAGACTCTGCGTTACCGCCCTCCCGTCATCATGGTTCCTTACTTGGTCAAGAAGGATTTCCCCATCACTGAGAACGTCACTGTCTCTAAGGGTTCCATGATTATCCCCTCTGTCTGGCCCGCCTGCCACGATGAGGAGGCCTACCCCAACGCCGACTCCTTCGATCCTGATCGCTGGATCACCGGTACTGCTGAGCAGCAGACGAAGAACTGGCTTGTCTTTGGCACTGGCCCCCACTACTGCCTGGGTCAGACTTATGCTCAGCTGAACTTGATGGCCATGATTGGCAAGGCCAGCATGGAGATGGACTGGGAGCACACCCCTACTCCCGAGTCTGAGGAGATCAAGGTGTTTGCCACTATCTTCCCCAAGGTATGTATCCTAACTTGTGCCAATTTATTTCACCTTGCTGACCTATTTTAGGATGACTGCCTGCTCTCTTTCCGTCCTCGTCCTTAAGCAGTTACCGACTCGCTTTAAAGACAGGACGCCCGATGCTTTGGATTTCCCACCTGCCAGACACATTGAAAGGTGGATGGAAAGCACTCGTGTCCAGCATGTGTTGCGTTGCATCCTATCCTGGTGATATGGCTGCAGGCAATCTTCTTCTTCGAACCACCTTTTTCTGTTCCTTTCTCGACCTTGTAACTACTTACCGCATTGCCCGCCTTTTTTCTTTCTTCTCTTATCATTTCGAAAGGTCAAGGGTGATCACATTTGCTGTTTTGGTGTGTCCAGCGTGGCCGAAGAGACAAGGCGCCTGGAGGTATATGATTTTGCAACGAACCATGTGACTCGTCCGCTTCAGTGAATCGTGAAGCATTGAAGTGACATGTCATTCTTAGATTACGCTACCTAGAACTAATAATAATGCGAGACTCGATTGATGGGATTGTTGAAATAGAGAGTAGTGTACAGTGACCACAGCTGACCACAGTTGCCTGCAATGGCACAACTTCGAATGGCTGATCGGCAACATCAGATTCAGAATCAGCAGTATATCACAAGAGGCAGGCGGTGAGCGGCGGACCTGACATCACCCGCGGCGCCGCAATCATTCCGAGTGCTTATCCCAATCACCATCCACCTTCTCTTGACCTTCTAGGTTCACAGCATCTTACGACAAAAGCAACAGACACAGACACAGACACAGCCACAATGTCCTCACTCCTCCCCATCCAGCGCCGCTCCGCCGCGATCCTCACTCGCGCCATCAAGCAAGCCCCCAACGCCCGGCGCTCCATCCTTACCGGCGCAACCCGCCAACTCCCAATTCGACCCTGCAGCAGCAGCAGCAGTATACTCCGACTCGTCCCTCAGTCTCCATGCCAGCCTCAATTCCAACCCCAACCCCAGCAGCAGCTCCGACGCAACAGCACCAACTCCCCAGGAGAAGGATTTAAACAATGGGGCTTTGAAGAGGTACGTACCGTACCGCACAGCACAAGGAACTACATCCTCTACCCTCCCCCTCAACTCCAGACACCAACCCTGTTAACACAACGAACCAACATCCAAAACATCCAATGCTCCAAATCAAACAAGCACCTCCCTCGCTACCATTCAACCCAGCCATCCCCCATCAACCTAGACTCTCCCCCTCCCCCCCCTCCTTTCTACAAAATAAAAAACTAACCCCCCCCCGCAAAGATAACAACCGCCCTCCCAAGCACAAACCCCTCCTCGCCCCAACACCAAAAACCTCTCATCCTCATCGACGTCCGCGAACCCGCCGAACTCACCGCCACCGGCATAATCCCGACGGCCGTCAACGTTCCGCTCGCCTCCCAGCCGGACGCCCTCTTCCTGACGCCCGACGAGTTCGAGACGCGGTTCGGGTTCCCCAAGCCGGGTGTGGAGGATGGGGTGGCCGGGACGGAGGATACCCAGAAGGCGGCGCCGGAGATCGTGTTCTACTGCAAGGCTGGGGTGCGCGCGCGCGCCGCGGCGCAGTTGGCCGTGCAGGCGGGGTACGATGCGGCGCGGGTCGGGGTGTATGAGGGGAGTTGGTTGGATTGGGCGGATCGCGGGGGGAAGGTGGAGAGGTGGGAGCGGGATGATTAGGTTCTTCCTTTCTTTTTTCTCTGGACAAGGAAATTGTATAGGGGGGGGGGGCCGGGGGTTGGTAGGTAACTTGAAAGAATGAGGATTGGGGGTGGGATGTATATATATTTGTATGTTCTCAGAGATGAACGATATTTTCTATGTACCTTGTAGGAAACGTATTTCAGATGAGCACTCTTCTTTTCTGTAGACTATACGGCGACAATTGCCAAAATGTTTCAGATTACAGTACTTTGAACCTCGTGATCGTGATAGAAAGAACTCAATTCGAACTAGATCCATAGCTATTCATTAACAAAGAGATAAAGCAATCGACCACGGCTAGCTTTTTTCCAACATCAAAGGTCTCATGTACAGGCATCTTTTGCTTTTGTATTGGTGATAAGAAAAAAGTCGTAGTCATTCCTCGTTCCAAGGCCTTCTGCCTTTGCTTTTCACCTCCCAATATCCAACGTTCCATCCTTCACTCATCCCTGGGTAGGTGACCATCTATCGTGCGTTCGAAATATCCCTCAAGGAAACTGTAGGCTAAGCAACAGCAGAAACAACAAGCAAAAACACGATATGATGATCCACAGCACGTGAGCTTCTTAAGTCACAGCCATCACCAGTGACTATGGCTCGTCGAATCTGGACCCTTGACCGACTCGGCTCTGAGAAGTCCCAGGGTTGACTAGAGAAGCTGTGAAGGCGCTCATGGAATGTCAAAGACAGGCTTGAGCTTCTTGACAAGACCCCACTCTTCCATCGTCACGTCCGAACGGTAGAACTCCTTCAGAGTGTCGATACTGGCACGAGAGATCTGGGAGTACAGGGTATCCGACTCTTCCAGCTGACGACCGTACATGGGCTGGTTGGCACCCTCGATCTTGACGGCAACGGAAGGTTGACCCTTCTTGCAGATAGGGATGGCCTTGTGGTCGCGCTCAATGGAGGAACTAAGGGAGCATTAGTCACCGAGAACACAGACTTCAACAAGGACATAGAAACTTACACTCGGCCAAGGTTGATAATCTCCTTCGCGCCGGTCTCGGCGTTGGTCTTCACTGCAGCGATAGGGGTGTGCAGACGCAGACTTCCCTCAACCACATCGATACCAATGACGATGGGATCCTTCTTGTTGAACACGGCCACGGTTTTGAGCACGCAGGGGAAGACAGCAAGCATCTTGCTCTCTTCCTTTCTCTTCTCCTGCAGCTCGGCCATGTGCTTGGTGAAGTCATCGAACAGATGGTAGATGATATCGGCCGTGAAGATCTTGACTCCAACTTCTTCGGCGTACGCAGCCGCGTCCTTGTCCACCTTGACGTCGAAGCACAGCATGACAGCATACTCCCTAGCCTTGTCCAACATCGTTCCGGCCATCATGACATCACGCTTGTAGACAGGACCAATGGAAATGTTGGCGACCGGAATCTTGGAAACACGCAAGAACTCAAGCAGGGCCTCCAAGGAACCAAGGGTGGAGGCCTGAACGCTGACACCACGCTGGTCTCTGGAAACCTTGCTGAGCAGGTTCTCGAGATCAGACATGACCTCGTCTTCAATGTCCTCCTCGTCATCATCGGGCCCAACGACCATCAGACGAGAACCAGCAATAGCCTGCTCAAGATCGTTGGCAGCAATCTTGACACCCAGAGCAGCCTTGACCTCCTTGTTGTGAACGTACTGCGACTTAAGACGCAATTCCTTGAGCGGTGCAGGCGTCAACAATGCTCGAATATTCGTTGAGATAGGACCGTTGAGACCGCATAGCACAATCCGATCACCCTCACGAAGGATACCGTTAGACAGGACAACGTCGATAGTGGTACCAAGACCCTCAATGACCTTGACTTCGAGAACGGTACACTCGACCTCAGACAGGTACATAAGGGAGTTGGTCATACGCTCCTGGGTCAAAGTAGTCAACAGCTTCAGCATGTCGGGAATACCTTCACCGGTGTGAGCGGAGGTGGGGACCAGAGAGACGTTGCGGGCCATCGACTTGTTCTCGCTGAACAACTCGGCGTTGAAACCCTGCTCAGCGAAGAGCAGCTTGGTGCGTTCCAGACGAGAACGGAACTCGTTCTGGACACCCTTGCTCTGCATAGCCAAACTCTCCTGGAAACCATTGTTGTCGATCTTCTTCCAGCCGTACAGACGATCGATCTTGTTCAGGGCGACGATGAAAGGAGTGCGACGGTCACGGAGCAATCTCATGGACTCGAGAGTTTGAGGCTCGAGACCGTGCATGATATCGACGACCAGGATGGCAATGTTACAGAGCGAAGAACCACGGGAACGCAAGTTGGAGAAAGACTCGTGACCGGGGGTATCGATGACCAACAGACCGGGGATCTTGAACTCGAAATTGCCGTCCTGGTTGACGACCTGGGTCTTTTGGCGCAGGGCATCGACGGGGAAGTAGGTGGCACCAATCTGCTGGGTAATACCACCAGCTTCACCCTCCTGAACGTTCGTCTGACGAATCTTATCCAGCAACTTGGTCTTACCGGTATCGACGTGTCCGAGAATACAGCAAATGGGAGAACGGAGGTTGTCCTTCGAACGAGCGGCGAGAGCTTCCTCGTGCTGCTTCTTGCGGCGCTCGGCAGCCTCTGCTTTGCGCTGAGCAATGGCCTTCTGGGCCGCAGACTGCTCATCCTCCGAATCATCTTCGTCGGAAGACTCATCAGAATCGTCGCTGTCCTCCTCTTCCTTCTCAGCAGAGGCAGAGGCAGCCTTCTCAGCACCGTTCGTAGCAGGCTTCTCCACTTCCTCATCCGAAGGCGCATCCCAGCTGTCCTTCACATCGTCCTCCTCAGCGGCCTTCTCCCAATCCTCGACCTCACTCTCCTCATCGCCACCCTTGGCGGCAGCGGCAGCCTTGGCTTCAGCCTTAGCCTTCTCCTCCTCCTCCTTTCTGCGGCGCTCCTCCTCGGCTTCACGCTGAGCCTTAGCACGGGCAGCAGCAGCTTCCAGGTCATCCTCCTGCTTCTTGGGGCCGCGCTTCTTGCGGTTATCGTAGACGGGCTTCTTCTTCTCCGCACCGCCTTCCTCAAGACCGGCAACCTTGCCGACACCAGCCGCAAGCATCTGCTGCATACGGCGTTCGTTACGCTCCTTGGCTTCCTTCTGAGCCTTGGTGAGAAGCTTTCCTTCCTTGCGGAGCTGCTCCTTCTTCTCCTTCTCCTTCTCCTTCTTCCGTTGACGGGCCTCCTCCTTCTTCTTTTCTTCTTCCTCCTCGAGGCGACGCTTCTCCTCCTCAGCAGCGGCCTCTTCAGCCGCCATACGCTCGGCCTCCTCCTGTTGCTTCCGCAGAGCCTCCTGCTGCTTCTGGATGGCAAGCAAGTGTGCGGGGATCTTCTTCTTCTTACCGCCAGTCGCAGGCTCGGGAGCAGCAACAGGGGCAGCGGCCTCCTCCTTCACAGGCTCAGCCTTAGTGGGTTGAGCCTTGGTCTCAGCGGGGGTAGTAGTCTTCTTCTTCGCAGCCTATAAATGAAAAAGAAATCAAAAAAGTGTCAGTCTCAAGTGCATCCATCACAGAAAAATAAGCTCGAGAACACATCTCGCGCCGCCGCAACAGCATAACCGTATAAACGTACCTGTTCCTTCTTACGCTGCTTCTCTCTCTCCTTCTTCTCCCTCTCCTTCTCCTTCTTGGACTTCACACGGATCTCGCCATCATCGCCGGCATCCTTGGGCGCCGGAGCGGCGGCGGCAGCGGCGGCCTTCTTGTTGGGCTTGGCCTTTCCGGAGAAGACGTCATCCTCATCGTCGAAGCCACCCTCCTCGGGCTGCTTGCTGGCGAAGTCGTTGGCGGCGTCGTTGGTCTCCTGGGCGGCATCCTCGCCCTCGACGAAGTCGTTGACGGGCTTGCCCTTCTTGCCCTTCTTGGCCTTGTTCTTGCGGAGGGCGGCGAGCAGACCACCGCCCATGCCATTGTCCTCCTCAGCGGGAGCGGCGGCAGCGTCCTCAGCAGGAGGAGAGGCGGTGGCGGGAGCCGACTCGCCCAGATCCGCTTCCCAGTCCTCTTCCTGTCTCTTGTTTCCCTTCTTCTTGGGTGCCATGTTGAAAGGTTATATAGGGAGGGTTACGTTGGAAATGAACCTGGCAAGAAGAACGGACGTCAGTAAAGAAGCCAAATCCGATCGGTTTGCTCGCCCGGAAGAGTCTGACGGAGATGTGCGCGCACGAGCAATCCAGCCAGCTACCTGATACCCGGCCCGCAACCTGCGGCAGTCGGGATGGCAAAAATGAAGAGCAAATGATGGGTGGCGAGTGCAGCCTCGGGAGATCCAGAGACACGAGCAGGGGAAACCGATGGAAATGAATGGCAGGGAAGAAGACGTACCTTTTCCCACCTCTCAAGTGGATTGTGATAAGGTCGGTCCAAGGCTGGAGACACGATGGAGCGGGAAGGACTTTTGGGGTAATTAAGAATTTTGGGCCCGGCGGTGGTGGGGATCGGCTTATGCGATATGCGAGAGCCCGTCCTGTCCTTTGTTGCGGGTGGCGTCCGCCAGTTGGTCCCGTTTCTGCAAGGTTCACCACGCCTACTTTACCCAACTACATCCAATTGAAGACAATTATAATAACAATAAAATCGGTATCATGATGCTCTATCTAGCAAAAACACAGGACCCTAGTCTAGAATTCAACCTGAAGGATCCGTCGTAACCACCCTATCGCCGATCCTACCGGAGAGCTAGTCTCTCCAAGAACATCTCGCGTGAGCTCCGAGAATCGCTCGAAGATCATGTCCGTCGAATTGTGCGTTTGTCCAGAAGAAGGGTCTTCGGAATGCAGCATACGAAAGAGGTCCTGAGTACCCCGCGTCAACAGGCGACTCAAACAATCACCGTCAATGTGCATCTGAGACGGATGGTTGCCGGCCAGATTGGTGGGGTTGCGCTGTCTTTGTCTTCGGGGCGTGAAGGGACATATGATGGGATCCCTGATGCATAGATTTTGTAGCAGGCGAAGGAGACGCCATTCTTTTTCATTGATCGGCAAGAGCCGATAGACAGTACCATTCATAGCAGTACCGTAGATCACTGGAGACTGAGACGATAATGGGGACTTTCTAGCACCTGCGCCGAGTCTTATGACAGATGAGGGAAGGTGTGCCTCACACAAGGCTGAAGGCATCATGGTATCGCGCTCATTGACCCCGTCCTCAGTCAGGAGACTGACCCGACCGCCTCTGCTGGACGCCACGATGAGATTTGAATTGCCATCTAGATGGATGTGGGAGAGACCATCGTACTTCTGGCGGTCTTGCGCACGAAGAGTCAACTTATCCTCGCCAGTCTTGAGGATCATGAGGGATTCTCTTGATGTTGTAAGGTACAGATGAGGTTCACGCGCCGTCATGAGAACCGCAGGCGAGTGGACTTTGTATCTTGCTGTCCGAACACCTTGGCTTTGAGAAAGCTTGGGTTCTAGCGGTACAATCATATGGCCTGTCGAAACCATCAAGGTGAAATCACCGTATGGAACGATGGAGAAAACCGGGCCTTCAAACTTATGGATGTGCTTCACATTGCATTCAATCCGCGACGGATCAGTTGGATCACGGTATGCTTGAAGAAAAATGACCCTGCCACGGTCCTGCTGGTTCTTGCGTGACGTACCAATGACGATGAAATGGTATTCTTCATCACCTTTCCTGGGCGTCCACTCTAGAATGCAGCTGATTTTCTCGCCAGCTACTCCTTGTGGTCTCCAAGGACGGCTGCTTTCGTCAATGGGAGATTCCAACGTGTTGGCCATGGATTGCTGCGAATCTGGGTCTACAAACTCGATGTATGGCCGAGTGTAGCGTCGGATGGGGTCTGTATCCGTATCATATTCGGTCTGGTTATATGCGACCACCAGACTCCTCAAATGGCGCGAATATGTGAGTTTGCTAGCACTTCCTGGTAGGTCAATCCTTCTTGGAACAGCTTTCGCTTTCTGGTCGAGAGTACAGATCATTAGCTGTCCCTCAGCGACACAGAAAAGAGTGTCGAAAAGACCCTCTGCGCCTGGACCCCCTACAGCAGCTATACAGAAACTATTGACTGTGTTCGGATGATAGGCAGGCTAGCATCTTGATTAGTAATTCGTATCTCTCAAGGGAGGTACAAAACTCACATTGTTCTGGTCAGTAACCCAAACTCTCTGGGTTGTATAGTTAGTTGTCACAGATTCTTGACTGCATGATATTTGCCAGAATCCGTGCCCACAAGTTAGTAGGGCGATGTCGCCCCTGCTTTGCACCTTCACTGAAGTGTGTCCTAGTCGCTGTGGTTCCAGTTGCTCGAATGCTGTCATAATGAGAAGTCAGTATGGAATGATCTATGTGACGCGTGTGAGTGCGTACCGTCGGGAGACAGACCAATTTCGCTGTCTTTTATCAGTTCGAACGGGATCAGAATTCCGCTTCGAAGACCGCACAGCATGGTGTACTTTTTGGATGAACTGTCGTTTGTCGGCTTGATAAGTGCAAGGCTATCGATGGCTTTCGAGATATCATCAGAGCTCTCAATCGTAATGGTTGTTTCGGACACGAAAGAAACTGTATCTGTCACGCGGTATACCAGAACTTTTCCATTGCCCGTGCCTATGAACACATACGTGCAAAAGCCCAGTGTCTCAATAGACATACATACAGGGTCATAGCGGATAGGCAGGGCAGGGCCAATATCTTGTAATTGGGCTTGGCCGCCGCCCGAATCGAGTCTCTTGAGGTGAAGGTGCACATCATGTGAAGTCCGGACTGCAGCAGCAACAAGCAAAGAGGATCCATTGACAGCAGCCACTGCAATGTGATGCGCAGGACCATATTCGTGGCGATAACTGGACCACAATTCGGAAGTTGCACCAATATGAATCGCCTTGTCCGTCACTTGAATGATGGCTCCTGTGTCAGTGCACCCGGCGGCAAGAGTCTGTGTACCATAGTCGAGGCCTGAGTCTTTTTCATCAATAGCAGATATCTCCTCCACAAAATCAGCTGCCAGATATAAAAGCATTGAAGAAACGGGATCAGAAGTCAATATGAAGATGCCTCCATTCATACCGTCTGACATGATCCAGATGTCCGTTGTACTCAATAGTTCTTCTAGAGAAACAACTAGACCGCTCTGTGCCTCAATTCCATGGCGAAGCTCAACCACAGCCCCGCGTGCGTAGGAAGAAGCCGAGCAAACGAAGAAGCGATCACCGGAAACCCCTGAATTCGAGGCGATGTCATCCCCAATAATGGCAGAATCCGTGACCGGCGTCCAGTTCATGAAGCGTTGAACACACCTTGGATGATCCCTGGCCTTCTGAACAAAAAGCCCACCATCTCCTGTCGTGCCGGCTGCAAGAAGTAGATCACCGCCCTCATATCCGATATCCAAAATATCAAACGCAGCGTCAACATCGCAGCAAAGCTGTCCTAGATGAGTTTGGTTCTCCACTTCGCCCTCATTGCCCACACTCAAATAGAACACCCTGCCGTCCTCCCGGCACAGATAAATATCGTCGTGCTTTTGGTTGTATAACCAATTGCGTAGAGGCCTCGCCCATCTGGTCCAAAGCGGTTGTCGCTGAGATTCACGATCAGGAACTGGAAGCGGGTATCTAGTTGGTTGCCTTTGGGGATCGAGCTTGTTCTGGTATACGGCCATCGATGTTGTGGTAACGAGAATGAATGATGACGTCTTGGTCAAGGGGATGAGCATGGTAGGTAGCCTGTCCTCAAGCGGCAGCACTTTTCTTGTCACTTTTGGGGCTGCTTGTCGCAGCGACTCATAAGCGTTCCATTCATAACAGACAGCAAACGTGACCTGATCCTGGGCGATGAGTAGAAGTAAGATGATCTTATCTCCATCCTCATTTGTAGGATATAAGAACTCCATAGAGATGATATCGCCATCGACACGAAAGAAACGTTCCTAGATATATCACCAAGGCAATCAGTAGCCACAAATTGTTTCTGATGAACGTCCTGCGCATACCTCTGCTATTGGGTCCAGTTCGTTCCGTGCCATCTGTGATTGAAGGACAGCAGGCTCCTTGAGGACGAAAACTCCAAAGTAGTCCGAAGAAGCACTGACTGCAACCACTCGAGATCTGCCAAAAAATCTCAGTCTATTGACCATCTTGCTGGTCGGAATACTCACCTCGGCTCCACAGCGATGTTTCGGCCGAACCTTTCGAAGGCACTGACATCATTTGGCAATGGTCGATGGTGATATATGAATTGTTCGCCAGCATTCCAGTAGTACAGGAACGTGAGCTCTCTTGAAGCGAGACTAAGTACCAGAATCTGAGGCGGCAAGTCCTTGTGCGCGGCTGCGTCTGCTGACATGGTGGATCTACTATCGCTCAACTTCATTTGTGCCTCCCAAGGTAATTCCGTGCTCACATTGATGACTTTGGCCGCCATGATGTATGAATCAAAATCATTCTTGTTTGTGACTTCCTCAAGATGCACACCGGACACTGCTTCCTTGATCTGAAGACATCTCTCGCCGACGAACACGACATCGTTCTGATGCTTCCCCCGTAGACGCGCAGGTAGAATCCACTGTATGATCGGGCTTGGCACTAGAGTATGCGAGAGTAATCCCACTCTAGCTTGGGATTTTGCATAGATGTGATCTGCTTCGATATCCATTGGTTCTCCGCCCAGGGCATTCTCATATTGATTTCCAGCTAGACCTGGATCTATCCTCGGTTGCGCCATGGGGTCTGTAAGAAAGGCCCACAGCAACGGATGATAGAATAACAAGCGCCGCAAAAGTACTGTCTGGCAAGACTAGCTAGGCGGTTGAAACTGGCGTGGTGGGGCGTAAATTGAGCAAGCTTTGCGAATGGCCTCAAGAGTTTGTCGGGTTCAGATTCCTCTTTTACAAAACGAAGGAGACTTCCAGGTAAGATCACAGAATCGATGACACTACGGCTCGTGCGGTCCTGCCTTAACCATGCTCAAGACAGTCCAGGAACCACATGCCACTCCGAAACTGAGTAGAGCAAAAACCGAATACTGAGTGGACAGTGAGCGCGAGGTTTCTCCGCAAATGTAGCTGGAAGAAGCGATCTGCAGAACCATGAATAGCCGTCATGCAAAGGAGGAATAATATGTTCTAACTAATTAGTGAGCTAGTTCTGAAACAGATCAACACCTGTTCTTTGTGGGGGGGGGGGGAAGAAAACCTACGATGCAAGGGTCTGCAAACACCGCTTGCTGCGCGCTGATAATAGGAACAATATCAGCGTCTCATGATATTATTGAGTGTCGCCCAAGCTGTGATCCCGTAATCCGGACAATTTCAATGTGTCTGAGCTTTGAGGAATCGGGCGTGGCTGCAGTTGCTAACCGCGAAATCCCAGCGCGGGCAGATTGTGGGAGAATCGACTAGCGGGTAAGTATGTTTAGTTCTGGTAGGTATGATGCCATAGGCCGCTCGCTACCTCCAAACTTGCAGCTGTGCTTTCAGGCACGCATGGTGAAAGGAGGGCGCTCAGTCTCCTAGCCAGGTCAGGGCTATGACTGACAGATACGGGAGGAATCAATTCAATCGATTGATGATGATAGGCTCTATTTATCTGTTCAGCCTGAGAGTGAGCTTATCAATGACGAGGGCGAAGATAGTGACGTGATGTGCACAGCTTGCCGGAGGGGTCGACGCGGAGCGGATCATTGATCTTTACCTTAGGTTAGTACTAGGTACGGAGTAGGCTTCCCTTACTTCCTCTTTGGGCGGTCGGGGGCTGCGTGCCAGGTCGGAGTAGTGAAAGTGCAGCCTTAGGCCAACCGGCTGCCAGGCTGCAAGGCTTCAAAACAGTTCCTTTGGGACCGATTGCAGCCACTTCCGCGGATGTCAGGACCACTTCTCTCTTTTTCCTTGGAATATTTCTTCCAACTATCTTCTTTATTCTAGTACTCGATGGTGTCAGCCTGGGACTGTAGGGTTCTTTTTGCCCAAACATAGACTGACAAGAAGTCGGCATATTGTCATGACATGAGGTTTGATCGTCACCTGCATACAGAGTACCTCCATTTGCCGATCTTGCCTAGTGCGCATCAAGGTGGATTTATAGATACTCGCCTTAGCACATAACTGGACAAACCCCGTCTGTCCTTCCTGAGCTCGTCTCCATACAACATCCTTGTCCACCTTCAGCCTCAAACGGCACGGTGAGTTCCTGGACGAGGCTGGCCACCGCATCCCATTGCCTGCCCCGGCAATAATGGATCTTCACCAGTCCCAGATCAACGAGCCGGCGGGCGACCCGAAAATGGTCGACGAGAAGGAGCAGAACAGCATAGTAACTCAGGAATCTCTGCATACGACTGACTCGTCATTTGATGAGGCGAATGAGGCTCGTGCAACTGAAAAGGCGAACGCCATCCGCCAAGCATGCGACCTGCGTGACTTCGACGCACTGGTCTCCTACGCAACTTCTGAAGGTGGCTTCCTAAATGACGATGTTAGACGAGTGGCTTGTAGGTCCCTGTAACCTCGAAACTCTGCCTTACGTGCACTGACATCCGACCTGTTCAGGGCCCATTCTACTTCAGTGCGATCGAAGAGAGTCTAATCACGACTTCACAGGGTGGGAAGACCTCCCACCGCATGCAGACGAGGAGCAGATCCAGCTAGATGTAAATCGGTCTTTCGTCTACTATCCTGATGGTATGCTTTCTCTCCACCAACCCAGCGCCTCGCCATCTAACCACTGGAATAGGTTCCGATGAGGAGATCGCGACGAAGAAAGATGAGCTCTCTCAACTCATCAAGCAAGTTCTGCGGAAATATCCAATGCTGTGCTACTTCCAAGGGTACCATGATATCGTGCAAGTGCTCTACCTTGTGCTTGGCGGCCATGAGGCCGCTCCTGCCGTTGCACAGATCTCGCTCCTGAGGATTCGAGACTACATGCTCCCGACTCTTTCTCCGGCCTTGAAACACTTACAACTACTGCCAGCGATTATCGAGCTGGCCGACTCGTCATTACGCCATCACCTTGCCGAGATCCAACCCTTCTTTGCCCTCGCGGCGACTTTGACCTTGTATGCGCATGATATCCAGGAGTATAGCGACATTGCTCGCCTGTTCGATTTCCTGCTGGCGGAGGAACCCGTGGTGTCGGTATACCTCTTCGCAGCGATCATTCTCTCCCGCAGGGAAGAACTGCTTGAAATCCCCGAAGAAGAGCCAGAGATGCTCCACTTCACCCTATCAAAATTACCCAATCCTCTAGACCTTGACGGGCTGATTCGATCTGCCGTCCGGCTTTTCAAAGACTATCCGCCGGAATCGCTGCCATTCGGGGCTTGGAAGCAGGTCCCATCATGCAGCGCCCTCAAGACATCCAGGGGACTTGTGCCTACTCATAGCAAAGATGAAGCCCTTAGATACTTCAAACAGCAAACCCGGCAGCTACGCTACGAGGAGAGCAGAGAGAAGGCAGTTGCGTTCCTTTGGAACCACAGGAGAACAATCGGTTCGGTAGCCGTGACCGTCTTGATTGGGGCGATGTCGATCTATATACGACGCAAGGGACTCGACAGTACCATCTGGTCCTATTTGGGTCGACTCAAATCGACATTGCAGCATCGTGGCTATCTGTGAGTAGCTTATTAGTGTCATCTCTTCTCATCCGAACATCTTTAGAGGATGGAATGTCTATGATGATTGTATCTAGAGCTGTGATACTATACAGTACTAAGAGCCCCCTTGGCATAGAACTTTTGCACATGAGTGTATAAATTAAAAAGTGATTATATGGCCCATCATCTCCAAAGGCACAAGATCAAGCATGACTACGAGGTAAATTTCGCCATCCTGTCCATGCGGACGGTGATACGTAGCTAAGTGGTTTCAGCAGCGGGCGGAATGGAGGCCCTGCTCCACATCTGGTGGCTGGTGCGTGGCTTTCCCGAGCCGCTCGTTCGCTGATGTGTACTCTTCAGTTGCAACAAACTCCCGCAACCTGCACCACCACAAAGAGCCACCTTTCCCTTGTCAATTCATCTAAACCCAGACCCCTCCAAGATGGCAAACCAGGGCTACGATGTGGTAGTCGACGTGGACGCCGAGGTAAGCAATGCATCACCGGGGAAAATCGCCCATCATCCCAGGGAAACCCAGCTCATGCCGTTGTAACCAAATGAACAGGGCGACCTCGGCCACACCGACCTTCAGGAAGACCTTGAATTCCACCGTTCGAGTAAGCCAAGCCGCCCAGCAAACATCCCACAACCCCAGACTATCAGCTCACCAGCTATTCCCTAAACCCCAGACTTCGAAAACGACCCCCGCACCGCCAAAATCCAACAAGACTCGACCCCATTCCTCGGCGGCGGCGACCGCACCTCGCGCGGCGGCCGGCGGGACCGGTCGCCGGGGGGCACGCCGACGAAGCACACGTGGTGGACGGTGCACTACTACGCGCAGTTCTTCGACGTGGACACGAACGAGGTGCTGCGGCGGTGCGTGGCGACGGTGTACCCGCGCAACAACTTCCTGGACGTGCTGGAGGGGAACGCGGACCTGTACGGGCCGTTCTGGATCGCGACGACGGTGGTGGTGATCCTGTTCCTGACGGGCACGATCTCGCAGTGGCTGAGCAACAACGACGACGCGCACTTCGCCTACGACTTCACGCTGCTGTCCGGCGCCGCGGGCCTGGTGTACGGGTACACGGGCGTGCTCCCGGTCGCGCTCTGGGGCGCGCTCCGCTGGTTCGGCAGCGCCAGCGCCGACCTCGTCGAGGCCTGGGCGCTCTACGGCTACTCCAACCTCGTCTGGATCGCCGTCGCCCTCGTCAGCTGGAGCCCCCTCACCGCGCTCAACTGGGCCCTCGTCGGCGTCGGCTTCGGCTGGTCCGTCTTCTTCCTCCTGCGCAACCTCTACCCCGTGCTCAGCGCCACCGACGCCAAGGCCAGCAAGATCCTGCTGATCTTGGTCGTCCTGCTGCATGCCGGCTTTGCGTTGGCGATCAAGATCCTGTTCTTCGCGTGAGTCTCTCCCTTCCCCCGTTTTCCGGATCTTTTTGTCTACGAATCTTGGGTCCCATGACACGATGGAACTTCTGCTAACCCGGAGCGTCATATACAGTCACGGAAGCCCGGTCTCGAAGAAGAACAAGAGCGACGGCGACGAGAACAATGATGGCAAGGCGCAAATGTTCATGTTCTAGGCTCGGAGGGAGAGCCGGGGAAGCAAGACGGAAAAAGAGAGCACGGCGTCATTTGTGACCCTATATGTTTCCATTTCTATCACAAAAAGCAAAAGAAAAAAGGGCCCGCGTCTAGACCCCAGTTCAGACACTGGTGCTCAGGTAGCACCAATGTCAAAAGGTCCATGATCTTTCCCTTTTTCTGAAAAGACGTATCCAGAACTGTCGCCTATGACAAAACGTTAAATGCTTTCTTGTTGTCTTTTGTTTTCATTGCAACTTTCCCGAAGCGACAGCACACTGCGTGTATGGAGTGTATCTTTCCTACTTTCCCCCGCACAATAAATCAAAAATGGACCAAGGGAATTTGAATTTTACAATTGTATTTCGATTGCAACTTCTTCCGAGCAGCCAACTATGGACATTTGACTTCGGCCATAATGTTTTATCATTCCAACGCCGTGTAATACCCTACGTTGCAATCCGGTCGTAACAACCCCAGCAGCGCTTTCCTCCCCCAGCAACGCAGAAAAACCGTAACAGGAGAATCGTTTACTTGAGCTTCTTCTTGGGGCGGAGCTGGTTGGTGTGACCGCACTTCTTCTTGCGGCAGTTGGTGGCACGGGGAGGGAGACGAGCCTAAGGGGGGAGATGTCAGAAACAGATTCGGTCGGGTGCGCGACGAAGGTAGAAGGTATCCGCTGGGATGTTGATCCGGAAAGGGGATGGGTGGGGAACGTACGTAGCACTTGCGGCAGATGGACTTCTCGCAGTTGTACTTGGAAGCGAGGGCCTTGAGGGAGGGCTCGATGATACCACCACGAAGACGGAGGACGAGGTGAAGGGTGGACTCCTATTTGACGATGATTGCGTTAGCTGACGTTATTCCTTCCGGAATGCACATGTTGATCAGATCGTTCGTGGTTCGCAGCGCTGGGTGGGGTTCCGAGAAAGATAATCCTCCAAATATGATGGTACGTGAAGGCGATGCGGTCCCGAAGGACCTGACACATTCAGGCCCCCTTCATCAACCAGACAAATATCCGTATCCAAGGATTGACGCAAGGCGACCGTAGCTTTCCATATCGAATAACCCAGAACATCATCCCGATCCACTCCAAAAAATCCTAAGACCCCAAGCGCAGCGAACACAAACGTCTGAACCGATGTGCGCAAAAGAATCATATTTCGGAAAAGAGTCGCTTCATACCTTCTGGATGTTGTAGTCGCTCAGGGTGCGGCCATCCTCGAGCTGCTTACCAGCGAAGATAAGACGCTGCTGATCCGGGGGGATACCCTCCTTATCCTGGATCTTGGTCTTGACGTTGTCGATGGTGTCGCTCGACTCGACGTCGAGGGTAATGGTCTTACCCGTGAGGGTCTTGACGAAACTATAGAATTCGGAAAACGAACCACTGGTCAGCGACTTGATTCCCTCTTTGAAAATTCCTCCATCGTGTCATGTCGTCCAAGTGTTTTCGGCTTCTTTTCTTTTCGAGATCGTGTGGCGTGGTAGGGCATTGGGAGTAATCGTGCGGTTCAAGACTTTTGCTTTGGGGAAAGACCTACATCTGCACTGTACGAGCGCGGAAAAAACGGCATGTTAGTTTTGCGATTTCCCAGACTTGAATATATTTCCCTCTTGATCATGATAGTGCTATACGTACTGGCTGCGGTTTTCGTTGTTGCTGGCTGACGATCTCGCTGAATGGGTCGGTCGGAAGAGGCGATGTCAATTTCACCATTTCTCGCTTAGCAGGAGGTGGACGGGCCTCGCACGTGATCAGGGTTTAGGGCAGTCCGTTCCGCTCGGGGCGCCCCTCCGCATATGTCTCCATAGTCCTTAGTCCTTACCATACGGTACCCATCGATCATCCATACATCATCGAACGGAGTTCGCTGGTTTCTTTATTTGGCATGCGTAGTTGCTTTCATTTTATCAAGGTTGCGGGTATGCAATTTGTACCATTGCATCCTGGTTGGTCGATATTCCTCAATACTGCAGCCGTCATGCCCACCACTCCTCAATCCTTGTGACCTTGTGATTGAAACCGTATTCTCTCCATTGAGATGAGCCTTGGCCCTTGGTAACTATATGGACAGGCCTAGGCTTCCACACTGTTTTCTCTTTTCACCTTAACCAAAGAAGCACAGTTCACGCAGCTGCATTCTCACTTGTAGATGTACATCTCATTATTCTCCTTCTCCAGACTCAGACATATCTTGATCATCCATCTCGCTAGTGTCTCGAGAGACGTCCGTGTCCAACGTATCTTTGATCGCTTCGACCCGTCGGTGCTCTTCCAGCCATCTGGTTATCTTGTGTTCCGCCTGAGACACCGCCCTGACAAGAGTGGAGAGCGAGATTCCAGCTACTTTGGCAGTAGTCTCGAAGAAGGGCCTTGCCGTCTCAGGAAGATCGGCCTCCGTTCGGTAGCGCGCATAGGCGGAGCCTGGTCGGGGTGTATCGATACTCTCCCCGGTGATGACCTTGGTGGGTTTCAGCTGACTCGTCGAGGTTCGCAGCATCGAAAGCAGAGCCTCCGCATCATTCCCCTCTACTGAAGCGCTGGCGGTCTGGCTCTCACTTGCATTGACATTGACCGGGAAGAAACTGGCCAATGGATTTTGTGCTAGGTCGAAGTTAGTCTAGACGCCCTAAAGAAAAGCAGTTCAAAAACTGAGTTACCTTTGCTGTGGTCGAGCCAAGAGCTCTCGTACCAATCCATATACTCATCCATCTGGGACGGGGTCATGCTCAATATGTCCTTCTCAGCCACCGAGATCTCATTCCCCTTGCCCAGCCTACCGCCAGCAGTCCGTTCACGGTCATAATTCCTTTGGTTCTGCGCCCAAAGCACCCAGTCAATGACCTGAACAGAAGGTTCCTTCGAAGAAAGAGGGTATCTGTTGTAGTCATCGAACGGGAATAGAAGCTTGGTAGAAATGACAATCAGGACAACCACTTGTACTTCCGGTAATTGAAGTGGTCTTCTCCTGCCATTTGTACCCGTGGGGTATGCGAAAGAGAAACCCAGTAGGTGTTGTAGCCTCTTGACGGCAGGATAGATGTCGACTAGACACACAAGGTTAGGATGCAATGCAAGATGCTAGCAAGGTCCCACTCACTCGGCAGCGCAAGCCTTTTTATGTATCTGTAAAGCAAGAAGGGCCAGTTCAAAGGCGGAAACTGCATGTCAAATCGATGATGATAGTACGAAAGGAGATCCGCCACGGCTCCATGAAGATGCTCAGGCTGAATCAATTTCTATCTCACGGTTAGGACATAAACAACACTCTGTTTGTGATGACAGCAAGGACTTACTGTAGTTTCGAGAATGGCGATGAATTGCGGTGGGAGTCTATCTCGCATCTCGCGGGGAATATCTTTGATGATTCTGATAAAGGGCATTTCTCCCCGTATAGCCATCCTATATCGCGCCCAGGTCAGTATATGAACGATAACGGAGTCGGCTGTCAGGGTGGAGTTACCGATGAAAATCCTCAATGCTCACAGGAAGCCTCATCAACAGCGCGGCAATATAGCACAAGGCCACGCTATCGATCAGTCGAGGCCATTTCGTCTGCGTGGTACCGAGCTTCGCCTCTGGAGGCTCATCGAAGCTGGAGGCCGGCTGAGAGCTGAAGAATCGCGGTTCATCATTCAACTCTGACAGCTCATTGATCTGGTCCGCGAAGGTATCCAGATGGAGCGCCCAAAGGTCTCGGATCACATTCTAGGTGTTGGACTGGTTAGTCGCATACAGACGGTGAACGGTGAACACGGGTATTTCCGGATTGGGAAAGGAAAAGCATGCACTGCAGGCATACCTCAAACTCTGGCGGAAAGCCGCGGCTCTGGACCAAGGTGTAAGATTGTTTCCAGAGAATCAATTGATACACTTGCAGAAACAGACGAGATGCCTGACGACCCCGGTAAGCTGCCTGATGTTAGGAATGCATGACTTGAGGAGGTCCACCGTCGCGGGCGTCTGTGAATGCTTACTCCTTTGGGCCTTTTCGACCGCCGCTTTCTTTATGCGACTCGTTCGACCTTGAGTTCCAAAATCGTCTGCATCCGCTTCGACTTGTCGCCCCTACCAGCATAATAGCGTCAGTATTCTAGGCGATGATGGCGTGGTGGTCTGATCGGCAACAGCAGCGCGCCTAAAAGGTGGGGTTGTGAATGCAAGTCAGGATCATCTCATACCTCCTGCTGATGACCCCGCCTACAAAACCAGAGGCCATTGTCAAGGTAATACCGCGTTTCACGGCACCCTTCCTGTCCACAGACCCCTCGTGTGATGTACTCCATCCGGGGCAGTACTCTTCATTCTTGTGGTCACAGGGAGAGGTGAGGAAGTGACGGAGGACCTGGGTCCCTCAGATACGGGTCAATGTCGAATGGTAAGATGGGTTTCCCGTACTGATCAAAAAATTTTCCCCCTTGTCGCAACCATTCAATGTACATCAACTCGTGACATAAGTTAGTCAGTATCCACAGCAGTTTATAGTCTTCTAAAGACGGAGGATTTAAAAGGCAACGGTTTCTTGCGCCGAGACTGGTCAAACCAAGACTTAAAAGTTTCAAATCACTTTCAAAATACGTCGAAGTAATTACGGAGGTGATTACGGAGATATGTAAATGCTACAATTACAGCGCGAAACCTGGTTGGAACAATAATAGATTTTTTATTCGTAAAACTATCGTGACGGTGCTGATTTCAAGAGCTGTTCCTCTGACAGAGCACGATTAATGCTGCCAAGTGAACGTGACTAGCGCCACTGGCTCACATACCCAAGTTTATATTGAAGCAGATTATGTCGTAACGTGACCATGTGTCTTATCCGACCGGACACATGGAAGAAGACAGCAAGGCCATTGTGGAACACAGAAAAGCTGACAGGGCAGTCACAAAATCCGTGAGCACGATTAGGTGTTTACTTGGCCTGGGGAGCCTCCTTGACATCCATGCAGCACTGCTCACCCATGGAGGTGAGGATAGTGACGTCTGTAGGGGATGGTTAGAGTCGGGATTGAGATTGATGACGTGACAGGATTTCCACTCACTGCAGTCCTTCTCCTCCTCCTTGAACATACGCTCGATCTTGTCACCAACCTCACCCTCGGGGAGCTTGACATCATCCTTGGTGCCTCCCTCCTCATCCATCAGGGACAGGAAGCCGTCGTCAGTGACGTCGAGCTGTGGAGTGTCAGTGACTGTATTATTCCGCATCACGTTGAATCACTCACGAGCTGGTATTCCTTGCGGTAGACGTTGGGGACGTCCATGTTGTGGGTGGAGGGAGACAGATCCTCGTACTTCTTGCCGGTGAAGATGTCAATGGCGACAAGGTGGACCTTGGCGTGACCGTGCTTGCCAGTCTTGGAGGTGGACATGTCGACGATCTTGCAGGGGCGACCCTTGATGACAACGTGACCGTTCTTGCGCAGAGCAGAGCACTGCATGGGGAAGGTCATCGAGGCGCCGGCATCGGCGGACTCGAAGGTCTCGTGGTGCTGCAGAACAGCGGTCAGTCAGTGATAGATCAATCATAGATAAGACGGCGACCATGTATAATCGAGAGACGGAAGATATGAAGCATTGCCTGCAGGAACGAATGGACATATAGGTGGGGGGGTGAAAGGGGTGCACGATGCAAGGCTTCCAGAAGCCCAGAAGTCCGAAAGCCCAGCAGTTGCAGTTGCAGTTGCAGTTGCAGTATTGAAAGATGTCGAATTTGGTATCGGGAACCAGGGCATATTGATGCGGGCATAACGTACCTCGTCAGACATGGTGATGGATTTGAAGGTATATGCAAGGAAAACCTGAAGAGAGAGAGTGGAAGGAAAAAGGACGCTGAGGAGTGAGGAGGAGAAGGAGAGAAAAATGGATGGAAGGCAGAGAGGGGGAACAGGCGAAAAGAAATCGACAAATGGACTGCGAAAAAAAGGCACTTGTTGTGGCGGGGTTTTGTGGTCGCTAGGCTGCTTTGGGGCTAGAGTCGGAGAAACCACATCCGTGGTTGCTGTGGGTCACCGTAGCATCTCGCCCTGGCTTATCTTAAGCTCTCCGTATACTTACTTACTCTTACTTCCCCGGTGGTGCTTGCAACTCCACTTCGGACATTGGTCTCTCTTCTCGCCTTCTCCTTCTCACCAGGTGCCAAGTGGCATTCACCGTTCCTCTCACGTCTTCATAAACTCAATTCTACCGCTTGGGGAACCTTTCTCCCTTTGATCCACCTTTCCCCTCTCTCCCCTCCCCCCTCAATGAGGTCCGGGAAGCTGTCCGGTATCCGCACCCTTCTCCGTGCCGGCCTTCTACGATGTGGCTAGACCGCATTGCTGGCCATTCGACTCCCTCGGGCCCCCAGGTTGACAGTCGCAGCAACTCCCCTCTTCCCCCCCGAAGGACATCCTCTCGCTTGTCGCCGAACATACAAAACAATCGTCCCGGATCCAGTCGACAAACTTCCTCCTTATCCGTCCTCCTGACTCCCAGTGATTCGACCACCTCCCTTCCCGCAACCGCACGTGGTGACAGATCGCCGTTGAGACAAATCGCTGCAAGATCCCGCCCTTCCGATGTTGCCGACCCCCTCGATATTCTGAATGGCATTCTTGGGAAGCAAAATGCCGACCGGAACTCGTCTCCTGATGTTGACTCTGACTTCAAGCCTGCGGAACTCGTGGAAGACATTGACTTCCAAGGGCTGAGCTTGGAGGATTTTGTCTCCAAGAAGGATGAACCTAGACGAATCATCAGCACTGATCTCGGCGCTCAAACCGTTCAGCAATTCGAACGAGAACAGAACAAGTTTCAAGATTTACATTCGGCAATCACCAGTTGTGACGAAGTCTCGAGCTCGATGGAGACATATCTGAACGATTTCCAGAATGAACTCGGGACTGTTTCGGCAGAGATCGAGACTCTGCAGATTCGCTCAATCCAACTGACTGCAATGTTGGAAAACCGACGCAATGTCGAACAGCTCCTTGGGCCTGCTGTGGAGGAGATCAGTATCTCTCCCAAAACAGTGAAGTTGATTGCGGAGGGACCGATCGATGAGAATTGGGTCAAGGCGCTCAACGAGATGGAAACCCGCTCGGCAAGCATTGAGGCCAAAGTCTCGGGCTCTAGCAGCACGAAATCCGTCGAGGACGTACGGCCGCTTCTCACGGACATCAAGAACAAGGTCAGTATTGCCCTTGTGCACGTGTCATACGCCGAGGTTGACCTTTTCATAGGCAGTGGAAAGAATCAGGGACTATCTGGTGTCTCAAATCAGAGCGCTACGGTCTCCGAACATCAACGCTCAGATCCTCCAGCAGCAGCGACTGGTGAAATTCAAAGATCTATACAGCTATATCTCCAGGGCCCACCCAGGACTTACGGGGCAAATCACACAAGCCTATATCAACACTATGCGATGGTACTATCTGTCGCACTTCTCACGATATCGTCAAGCGCTCGAGTCGATCAAGGTTTACCCCAGTGACCGGAACGAGGTTCTAGGAGGAGACCCGTCAGCTCACAAAACAGGTAAGCCGAATGGGGCATCCTGTATCAATATGTATATGTTACTGACAAATCTAGGCTCTGCTGTTGCCGGCAGTCGCGCAGGATCTGCAGCACACGACCCATTTTCCCTAGGAAGGAGGGTAGACATTCTGCGGACTGGTGCTCAGATTGCCATCTCTTCTTATCTAGCAGAGGAAGATAACTCCTTCCATGGTCTTGAAGTGCCATTCCGCAATTTCAATCTTGCCGTTGTGGATAATGTGTCTGCCGAATACTCCTTCATGACCGAGATGTTCTCGACCTTAAGCTTCCAGCAAATTTCGCGCAAAGCGGTCGAGATCTTCGAACCAGTCTTTGGGCTGGGGCAGACCCTGACAAAGCAGCTGATCGAACACACGACGGACGCGCTGGGGGTCTTGATCTGCGTTCGATTGAATCAGCACGCCGCTTTTGAGCTGCAGCGTCGCAAGGTCCCCGTTGCCGACTCTTATATCAACGGAGTGAACATGCAGTTATGGCCACGATTCCAGGTCATCATGGACACCCAGTGCGAATCCTTGAAACGAGTGGCCGCGAATACGGGTCGTAGTGCGGTGTCCGCCCTGTCCTTGGCCGGGGGTGACGATCTGAACAAGTCGTCGGCGCCTCATTTCCTCACGCAGCGGTTTGGTCAGCTGCTGCATGGGATATTGGTTCTCAGCAGTGATGCAGGAGATGATGAACCCGTGGCCAACAGCTTGAAGCGCTTGACAGCCGAGTTTGACAACCTTCTGACGAAGCTCAGCCGTATTGGCGGTGATGCGAAGAGACGGGAGAGATTTCTTTACAACAATTACTCGCTTGTTCTGGCTATAATTAGTGTAAGGAACCTTCATCTCTTCGAAGGGTAACTAGGCTGACAGACAAATAGGATACCCAAGGTAAATTAGCGATTGAGCAGAAACAGGTATGTCATCTTCCATTGAAAGTAGTTCTGAGCTCCTACTGACTTCAGCCAGCATTTGGACGAGATGTTGAAGAACGTGGGGAAGCGGCCTTGATACATAAACAATCGTCTCCTTTGTTGCATTTATCTCATTTTCTGGGGTGCATCGATTGGTCTTCCATATGCATAATATCAAGCGTATCATAGACTCTAGTATATACCACCACTACTTACTATTTACCGTACCATATACAGTAAACCCATTTTGCACCTCGGTTGCTCTGGTCCTGCCTGAGGCAAGACCGGGCCAGTAAAATACCTTCTTATTTCGGAGCCACTGACTTTCAGCCCAGAAGGGGTTTTAACCACCGCCAGTGACACTTTCATCTGAGAAGCAGTCTGTGTTAGTTCCGAGTCTTCAATGGCTGCAGCTACATTGTAAACCAGCCCGAGCTTCTCTTTCCACTCATTCCCAAGCTATCATGCTCCTCCGCATTGAACGGAATATTTCCCGGCCTCCCCCTCCCCCAGCCACACATCCTTATCTACTTATCGCCCGCGGCGGGCTGGCGGGCTGGTTATCAGATGCCTAAATCGGACCCCCGGGGCCGACCCGAAGGGGCAACTCATCCCGGCGCGCCGTCGGCGCTAGCTATCCTTCTCACCCCCCCAAAACCTAGGTACGGCAAGTACTTCAAAGTCACATTGTATCGCTCGGTATCCTGTCCAACTACGATCCATTACGCCAAATGCTTTGATTCTGCGGCTTCCAGCGCACGCAGTGTTGCCCAAATCCTGTGCATCATCGCTTAGTTGATTGACCAAATTCCATGGCCATGACAACTCCCCGGCTCTTCCCCAGAAGCCGCCTCCTCCCTCTCTTGCGCCGGCGCGGCTTCTCCAGCACGGGCGCTGCCCGCGCCGACGTCACTCATGCGGTAAGTCCCAAAACACGCACTGACTTGAAAGCAAACGGGCTGATGCATGTCTTCTTCGAAAGGTCATAGGCGGCGGAGTGGTCGGACTCGCCGTTGCGCGCGAATTAGCCGGTCGCGAGGGGACGTCGACGATTTTGCTGGAACGGCATGATGCGCCGGGGACGGAGACGAGTAGTCGGAATTCTGAGGTGAGAGATTGCAGATATAGATGCATAGGTGTATCGTTTGGGATTTGGAGGTTGTTGTTCGTGCTGGTGCATTGTGTACAGTACACTGAGGGGAGGGAGCAATGGCAGGGGGGCTTTGGGTCGAGGGGCTGGGAGAGGGTGCAAGAGAGAGGGTGAGATGCCGATGCGCTGACAAGGACTAGGTCATCCATGCAGGACTGTACTACGGCACCGACACCCTCAAGGCCAAGCTCTGTATCCAGGGCAAGGAGATGCTCTACGACCTGCTGCAGCGACAGGGGCTGCCGTACCGCAACACGGGGAAATGGCTGGTGGCGCAGGACGACCCGGAACGAGACTCGCTGGAGCGGATGCACGCGCACGCGCAGCGCATCGGGGTGCCGACGCGGTTTCTGAGCCGGCAGGAGACCGAGCGGCGGGAGCCCGAGGTGCGGGCGCTGGCGGGGGTGCTCGAGAGCCCGACGACGGGCATCTTCGACAGCCACAGCCTGATCACGTACCTGCAGGGGGACCTGGAGCACCGCGGCGGCGACTGCGCGTTCCTGACGCGGGTGACGGGGCTGCGGCCCCTGGGCCCCGGCCAGGGCTACGAGATCACGGCGGTGTCGGCCGACGGGGCGGAGACCTCCATCACGGCGGAGACGGTGGTGAACAGCGCCGGGCTCGGCGCGTGCGCGGTCAGCAACATGCTGCTGCCCGCGGCGCGACACCGCACGATGCACTACGCCAAGGGGACCTATCTCTCGTACGCGGCCTCGTTCCCCAAGACCTCCGTCCTGGTGTACCCCGCCGTGACCAAGGCGCAGGCCGGCCTGGGCATCCATCTGACCCTGGACATGGGCGGCCAGATCCGGTTCGGCCCCGACTCCGAGTGGGTGGATAGCCCGGATGACCTGGCGCCCAATCCAGCCCGGCTCGAGCCGGCGCTGCCTCTGATCAAGAAATATCTGCCGAACGTGGATGTCACCGCGGTCAGTGTGTCGTACTGTGGAATCCGGCCCAAGTTGAATAAGGACAGCGGTTCCTCCTTCGGCTCATCGAAAGTCTGGCAGGACTTTGAGATCCAGGAGGAGGAAGGATTCCCGGGGTTTATCAATCTGTTGGGCATCGAGAGCCCTGGGTTGACCAGTAGTTTGGCCATTGGGAAGATGGTGAAGGAAATGCTCTACTAGGGGGGGTGGTAGAGTGGTACATGTCTGTAGATAAAGGGCGAAACCAGTTGTAGATACATAAACTCAGGCGCTACAGCAAGCGCTGGAAGTGATGGAAGAACAAACGGATAGTTTTACAAAGGAATTGGCAGCCAAGCCTCACAGCCATGCTTACTGCTTATTGCTTATTGCTTATTCGTTATTCCTGATTCCTGATTCCTTATGCATTATCTTCCTACTCGGTAGTCTATGTGGTGGAAAGACCCCAACAAAACGCCAAGTCGGGTTCTCCTGTCAAAAAGCGGCATTGCCTCCCCACAACCGTATTCAGCCAGCTTGGGGTGGGTTCGCCATCGCAACTGACGTCAAGACTTTGGGGTGGAACAACTGGCGTAGACATCACACAGCATCACAAGGGGCGCATTTGACAAAAGCTACGGAGTACCTTTCTATTTAAAGATGAAAACAATTGAGGACGTGTACTATACATGTACAGGTCCGATATATCCCACTCAATACTAGATGACTACTGGATGAGGGCTCATGTAAGGAGTCGCTTGGGTGATTTGGATGAAAGACAAGGATCCCTTCCCAAATCGGGAGGGTGGGTTTGCCACCGCCGTGGACCACCGCCAGACCAGACCAGACCAGACCAGACCCTTGCTGGTTGACGCGTTGTGCAGTTGGAGACCCCGTAGTGGTTGATCCACCCCCGACCCTTTCCCTCTACCCCAGTGTACTTAGAAGTAGTCTAGGCGTAGAAGTCGTCAGTTAGTCAACTCTTTGTTCCCCAGCTTCAACCTACTCTGCACATATCCCCTTGTTCCAAGTCCTAAGAGTGTATATTCCCCATCTTGGTATACATACTGCTATACGTATACTTCTCACTCGCTCACTTCACTCGTCTACCTATACTATATACACTATACTCGACCACACTAGACTCCACGAACTCATAACCACCACCTCCCTCGATACATACCTTACTCATTGAGAACCACCAACCCACCTGCCAACGTATACAACAACAACAACAATAACAACACTAACACACAATCCCAACTCGCTACCTACCCAAACACCAGCATCCAGCATGGTCGCAACCCCAGCACCCCAATCCCAACCCCCCCCCACCACCCCCCACAAAATCCAAAAACCCAAACCCAAACCCACCCGCCGCGCCCGAACCCACCAACAACAAGCCTCAACAGCGCGATGCTGGGACTGGCTCCTCCTCCCGGCCGGCAGCAACACGCACTTCGCCAAGAACCGGGCGTCGTTCGCGACGTACCGGCGGGCGCCGTGCCGGATCGCCAACCAGCGGGTGCTGGGCGTGGGGACGGTGCAGCTGCGGGTGCGGCGGGCGCCGGACGACGCGCGCACGACGACGCTCGTGCTGCGCGACGTGCTGCACATGCCGCAGGCGCGGTGGAATGGGATCAGCGTGGCGAAGTTTACGGGGGATTTTTGCGAGGATGATTCCGGGAATGGGAATGGGAATGGGAATGGGGGGTGGCGGAGGGGGAGTGCGGCTGGCAGTGCGAGTGGCAGGGGCAGTGTGGGGGGCCAGAGTGAGAGTGAGGAGGGGGAGTGGGTGGGTGGGACTGAAAGCCCCCTGCCGGTGGTGGTCGGGGTGGAAGGGGAGGGCGAGGCGGAGCATTTGCAGGTGCGGCGCGCGAGTACCACCAGTACGATCAGCAGCTGTGGTGGTGGTGGTGGGGATGAGGATCGAGGGGAAGGGTTGTGGTTTGCCGAAGGGAGGCCGGAGAGGGGGTGTTCGAGGGTCGTGTTGGCTGGGGAGCATCATCATCCGATGCCTGATGTTGGGGAGTTGGTGGATGAGAGAATGCTGAAAGGCCTCGTGGTCTCCAAGGAGGAGTTGGAGCTGTTGAATGAGAGGGTCAGGAATCGGTCTTGGGTCTGAACACTTGCATTCAAATTTCATTCGTATTTCTCGTGGGATATGATATTGTTTGGGCATCTGGCCTGTTTGTATTGTACAGAAGCTTGGATTATAATTGCAACCACTTTTGAAGCAAAGTGACTCTTGGTGCGCTCGTGAAACCAGTGATCATTGTTCAGCCGGCTGATCAATGCCACTGCGCCGGAGCGTCTTCGGCTAGACTTGTGAGTGACTGTGACTGACCTGGGCAAGTCAACCCAGGCACCTTGTCAGCGGCCACTCGACGCTTCATTCTACATCCATTAACACATCGCTCATGATGTGAAGCACATAAGAAAACTTGCGCACGCTCCATTTGCCAGCGTCTCTCAACAACCCGGCATAGTCCAGCAGAACGCGTCGTGCAGACTGATATCCGCCTTGAATGGGCATCCCTCGGAGATACACCGTTCCCCCGTTGCGGATGAAGTTCACAGCAGGCTCATCTGACAGCGAGAAAGGTTGACTGCCGTGCGGGACCATGTAATTGGTAAGGCCCTCAGTACCCACCTTCTGCCAGTCGATGTCATCGAAAAGCTCGATCGCAGTGCCCCCTCCCTGCGGATCAGTGACATGCGGCACCATGAAAACATAGAGTCCCAGGACCAGCGCCGCGGAGAAGAGAGAAAAGACGGAATGAAACATCATATGGTCGGAAGTCTTGCGGTTCGTCAACACCTTGTAGATGTGAGCCGCATGCAGGCAGGCTCGTCTGGCAGCCGGTGTCTGAGACCACGCGGCAATGTCAGCCAAGGCTTTCCGGCCAGGAGCTGGACCTGATCGTCCTGCCGCTAGATCAAAGATCTGGGTGTCTGCCGACAGCGTCAAGCACATATTGTGCCACGTCACAGCCGCATTGGGATTCAATCGAGCAAGTATGTCTCCATATTTGTCGGCGATCTGCAGCTGGAGGGGCGTGAGACACCTGGCACGAGCGTCCATACTGTAAGTGTGGCACGGCGCGAAGGGAAATTGTGGTCTGTTCGAGAGAAGACGGTAGTAGGCTTCAGAGAGCCGCAACTGCACCAGTGATAGCACCGCGTGCATACAAAAGTCGTCGACCGGGCTTTCTAGTTCGGGAAGGCCCACGCTTTCTGATGGTGCCACAATCGTAGGCATGAGCATGCATTTCCCACTACAAATCAACTGCATCCACCGCATAGCATTGATGGCTCGGAAAAGTGCGTCGTCACATGGCAGTATTAACTGGACCGAATCGGGCACGACGATGGGACTCGTGGACATAAATGAAGAATACCAAGAGTCCAATAGCAGCAGACCGGTGATTAATCTAAGCAATTAGCCAAGTCCGCAAAAGAACAGAGCGATGTACCGACCTTTTCACAGACTCCGCCTTACTCCAGGCTTTCCACCTCGTCTCAACATCAGTAAAGGTGTCGAAAAGGCTCATGTCAAGCACTTGTCCTTCTGTGGCAGCGAAAAGACCATGTCGTTGCGCTATCTGCAGACTATGAGTTCTGAACTACCAACATTGTTATGACTATCGGCACTTACCGATATGAGGTTGACATAGAGCATCTGACATTTTTCGAGATGTTCTTTCTCCTGCGCACTGTCAGCAACTCCGCCCCTAGGTAGATGATGGAATAACCTACCCCAGTCATAGCGGCCAGATTGAGAAACAGAAAGCAGGCAGCAAAGGTAGAGACGGTGCACACCGAGTTTTCCACGCCCACGGAACACCTAGCGAGATCGGCCGTGAGGCGCTCAAGCATCAACTGTTGTTTTCGCCCATCAGCAACGCACCAAACATGTGAAAGCCTGCTCACTCACCGAGAAATTCTTGCAAACAAAATCCATTGTTCCTCTAGTCCCCAGTAAGACCATCCCAATGAGACACATAGCATACAGTACCGAAGGCCGCGTATTGCTTGCGGAAAAGGTAGGGACATGTATGAAAGGCACCAGTGGGTGGAATTCGCGGAAGTAAAGATCGAGCGCCATATCGAGTACCTCGGCTGGGGGAAAGTTGTGATTCTTGGGAATGGAGCCCGGAGCCAAAGGAGGAAGCGTGTTGGTCCCAGGCAGCGCATGCAGCTGCGACTGTTCGGTCTGTCCAAAAGCAAGATACAGGCGTTGTCTACACGCTTCGTCAAGTCCATACCTTGATCCCTGTGGTCCGACTGGGCCATCTGGCGGAGGTGTTGCCGATAGGGTGAATATGTTGTTCGTGTCACTGCTGGCTACATCTCGCCACAGGCCGTTCATCAGGCGACCGGTGTTGTTTGCTGGAGCGAGCCAATAGCGCTGTACGCGAGAGAATCGCTCATTCGGAATGAGGTTCCCTGTTTTCGAGGTCTCACCATCGGTTGAGAATTGCTGTTGATGCTGCTGAGGTGTTGACACGGAATCTCCACTGGGCAGGCTACCAATCGGCTCTCCCATCATGTCCAATGAACCGTTGTGCGAAATCGAGTCTCCGCGAGGCTCCAGCCAGAACTGCAGCAAGTCATTCTGCATTGGATCGAGTATGGTTCCTCTGAAGCATTGCTGATCCGGGCCGGAGATATGGTTCCATCCGAAGTACTGATGTTGCTCATCCGTCATCATTTGGTTGACCTCTGGCTCCGTGCGAGGTTGATGGGTTGATACATCGGCCAAGAAGTCCAGAGACGATGAGGGGATACCCGGTGTGGCCGACAGCGACATGCCTCGGTGCGACGAGAGATTATGCATCTGTTGAAGATCATTGGGGCTCATGCCCTGCATGCCCTGCTGGCTCGCATGCGAGATAACCGGCGTGCGGTCATTATGCGGTATGGTGGCCGGCGAGGCAGCCTGGAGACTTTTCGGTTCGCTTGTCCCCTCGGTGCGGGGGTTCTTGTGGCCTTTAGCATGGCGACTCAGGACGTCACTGCAAGAGAATCTCGGGGTCAGTGATCAATCAGACCGCGCAGAAGTCCGGGGCACCAGACTTACCTCCGCGAGAACCGCTTCAAACAGACACTGCACTGGTAGGGCTTCTCTTTCGTGTCTAGTATATATGAGCATCAGTGTGAACCAGCCCCAAGGTGAGGTTGCCATACGCGACCGTTCATGGCGCTTGTAATGCTCTGTCTTCTTGAATTGCCGATCGCAGATAGTACACTGCTTCATGACCATGATTCTGCTCGTCGGGGAGCCACTGGGGTGGGTATGTCAAAGAGACAGTCACACAGAAGAATGCATTGAGGTTGCACCATGCGGAAGGGGTATCGGTTGAGATCAAGGGGGGAAATATTCTTGCAACCAGAGTGTGAGGGGAAGAAGAAGATTGTTGTGAAGAGCTTCGAAGATCAAGCCGTCGGGAAATGGGACAGGTTATCTCCGATCTGGTCAAGCGTGGTTTCCAGCTGAGTTTCTCGCCGATCTCAGAAACAGTGGGGCGAAACGGATCTGGAGAGGGTAAAATGTACTGAGAACTGAGTATTGAGTACCTTAGGTAAATCACGACCCTTTGGAATGGATCACAAGGGAATGCCATCGTCATGACTTGAATTCATCAAATTGCGACTCTTGATTTAAATTGGCTCAGCTGCAAAGAGTCGCCTCCCCTTGGGGTTTAGTGCATGCGCCACCGTGCCGCTAATTTATTTAGTTCTGGTCTCGATCAATGATCATTATCCATGATGTTATGCTCAGGTTACCTCGAACATGGTATGGACCCAAATGAAAGAAGAAGTCAATTGCTGCATGGTCATTGGGTATTTTGCGATGTGCATGTAGCCGAAGGACTGTGATTTGGTCTGGTAGAACAATCATCACCTGCTCAACGAGCGTAACTACTACCTTGGGGTCGAGCGAGGGAGGGAGGGAAGAAAGAAAGCCATTAATCTATGTACAGTACAGTACAATATCTAGTATGAAGCCTGCGGGGTGCTCCCCTATACTTATGCTTAGTCTTGCCTGTCATGGCCTGCGTCCGTGCAGAAGGAAAGTACTTAGCGTGGGGCCATGTGGATGGTTGACGCTCCCGGAAATCCCTCACTTCTTTCTTATCAACAACGCCAAGAAAAGCACTCCATCCACTCCTCTCTATATTCATCGTGAACAACATATCTCAATCGACAGCTAACACATCATCTACCATCCGCATCGATGCACCGAGGTAATTGACCGGGTCACAGAGCTGGCTCACGCGTTCCTCCGTCAGCTTCGAGGTCACCTCCGGCTTCTGCATCAAGCAGTGCAACAATGTCTGCTGCGTCTCGATGCTCTCCCGACATGCCTCGTAGACGATATCATGTGCATTCTGGCGACCCACATGCGGTGCCAGACCCATCATCACTGCCTCCGCCACGATAAGCCCTTTGGTCGAGTGCAGATTGACCATCATCTGCTTGCTGTGCACACATAGGCCGGACAAAGCGAATTGCGTCTGCGACAGCGCCCCGACGGCGATCACAAAGCTCTCCGGGACTGCCACCCACTCTAAATGCCAGGGACCCGATGCACGCTCGAAGTCCGCCACCATGCCATCGAGCACCAGGCCTGCATTCGACCGCAAGATCTTGGATGCGGCAAGGATAACCTCACTCGAGATGGGGTTGCGTTTCTGTGGCATGGTGGAGGAGGCGCCGCGATGGGGAACAAACGGCTCGGACACCTCCCCTAGCTCATTCGACGACATCATAATAATATCCAGGGCCAACTTGCCCATCGACCCACCCATCAGCGCCAGGAAGTTCACAATTTCTGCCACGCCGTCTCGCGCGACATGCCAGGTGATGGACGGGTCCTCGAGTCCCAGCTCTTCCGCCAGGGCTCTGCGCACGCGGAGCCCGTCGTCCCCGGAGCCCAGCGACGCCAACGACCCTGCTGCTCCGCCGAACTGAACCAGCAAGCATCGACTCTTCAGCTGTGCTAAGCGCTCGGCATGACGCTGGAAACCAGACAGCCAGACTGCGCACTTGTAGCCGAAGGTGACGGGGAGAGCGTGCTGCAGATGGGTGCGGCCTGCCATGGGTGTGTCACGGTATTTCACGGACAGGCCGCGTAGAGTGCAGATGACTTCCTTGAGAAGTCGCTCGACGATATCCAGACCCTCTTTCATCTGTAGGACACTGGCAAGATCCATGATATCCTGCGTCGTGGCACCCCAGTGAACGTACTTCCCAGCCTCCTCGCCGCATATCGTCGAAAGTTGACGAACAAGCGGCAGAATCGGGTATCCCACGATCTCCGTTTCCTGTCGCAGACGGTCCATGTCCAATTGCGACTCACGTATCTTCTGCGTAACCAGGTCTCCGATCCGCGGGGGAATCACGTCGCATCGTGATTGGGCTCTGGCGAGCGCGGCCTCGGCGTCGATACATCGCTGGATGTATGCTGCGTCGTCGAACACCTTCCGGATCTCCTCTGTTCCGAATAAGGTGCGGAAGATGCCCGAGTCGATTGCACTGACAGAGCCGATCGTCCTGCGAGATGTGGCCTGCTGGACTCGCGGTAGAGGCAGACGAGCTATCCGAGCAAGTGAGCGTGATGCTAACATTGTTGCTGCTACTTTGGCGTATCCGGCGAGGTGACTCGCAAAAATGTATTGGTGGATAACCAAGATATTTTAGAGTTCTAAACGTAGTGGTTGACATTTGGAATGAGTTCTGACTTGTGAGACTCCTCGAGGCATCGTCCCATTGCGGGGATGCGGAGAAAGAACAGCAAGTTACCCTGGTGACCCAGCGAGTTGTCGTCATTGTGTGGGGCTGGATAGCATGCACTTCCCCTGGGGTGTATCGGTTATAAGTTCAACCGATCTATCCCTAGTAGTAATTTGCGCCTAAGGATCGCATACAAACAGAATGATGAAAAAGAGACCCTTAGCATCGAGTTCATACCCGATGAATTTGATTATTGACTGATCAATTATGATTATTCACTAAAACAAAAAAGCTTGAACTCAATTAAAAAACATCTTATCACCCCAAGGATACAACATTAATTAAGGGGCACGATAAGAAATACCCAAAATCAGCCCTGCAGCTGTCCCAATTAATTGTCATCCTGACCAAGCTCCGATTCGTCTCTCAAAGACGCGCTCGATCCTCCCACAGATCTTCAATCGACGTATCCTGGAACCCGGGCAGAATCAGCCAGAACCGGTCTCCAAAGTTGGTATCCGGCAGGATGGTAAGAAGGGTCCTCTCGCGGGTGTCGGTGAGTTCTTGGATGTCTTTGTATTGGTCCGTCTGCTTCTGCTGAATCCATTTATAGAGGTTCTGGAGACTGAAGCCGTCACTGGCGTCGTAGTTCCACCACTCCATGGTCTCGGCCGTGACAGATTTGATGCTTGCATTGTCTGTCTTGGTGTACTTGTGCAGCCCCCAGTAGAATCTCTTCGCATCGTCCCGGGTGGTGGCGGCTAACAGCCAGCGATGCCATTCGCCAGGGTAGTTGCCGTTGTGGCGGTTTGAGATGTGGACGTTGTGGCGGTTTGAGATGTGGACGTAGAAGGGCATTTTGTCGGTGCGCGTGTTTGTTCGCGACTATTCCTGAGAGCCTCGCTTGTGACTTCTGAGTCGAAGCGAGTAGGGTGATTGTCTTGCCGGACTGTGCGTACACTTGCACCTTGATACGTAGTTCAGGTAATATATGTGAGATGCTGGCATGTGAATTTTATCATTTCCGAGCCATGTGTGGTTTGCATTGTTTTCACGTCATGATTGCTCGCAAGATGACACTTGCAGTGTGTTTTTTCCATGGGTAGTGGCAACCACAAAATGACTTCCACTCGCTCACAAGGACCTTGGTAGTAGAAACTGAAGGCTGCCTTGGAGTGCAACGCAGATGAGAGCATCTATTGCTGAGCCAAATCGTGCTGGAAAACAGAGTATGCACGTCCTCAGGCACCGACTACTGAGATGTGGGGTTTAGACCGAAGACTTAAAATCTACTTTGGCATCGACCAATCGCAGGCGAGGAAAAATGTTGCTAATGCACCTCGGCAGTTCCGTTCCCTTATTGATAAGATACTGCCGCAATCACGGCACGGTTGTAGAGCAGCGCTACTGGAAGGGTCTTTCAGGTATCACCATTTATTAGTCCCTTGTCATTCTTGTTGAGACGATAAGATGAGATTGAGACTGAGACTGAGACCAGACAATGGGCGAGAATACCTACCCCAGGATTCGGCAGATCCACCCCACAGTCTGCCCTCTGTTCGTCAGATTCCATCGGCAATGAATTCCTTGAGATCCCGTGAGCAGGTGCGATTTCACCCGATCTCGCAGTTGGCCAACTGCCATCGCCTCCAGGGGCTTGCCGATGCCCTTCCCGCTTTCGGAATCGTAAATTACGCGGTATTCATGACGGGAGTCGACCAGTGAACATGCTTAAGGACTTCTGGTGCAGCGGACGCTGAGAAACCATCAATTTCACCTCGAGCGACCCCGATCAATCTTGAAAATGCTCTGGCCTCGGTGACTCTTCATCGGAACGGCGAATACCTTATTCGAACCCGATCGGAGTCGCGTGAGCCCTGTGCGCGATGCCCCGTCCATCCCCGCAGGGTTGAACGTTTCTCCCCCATGGGCGGGCACGACGTACAAGACAATACCAGCCACCAGTCACGGACGCAGTGGGGTCGGCTTCGGAAGGCGGCAAAGCGAAGTGGGAGTTTCGGCGGATAATCGCTTTTGTCGGCTGCGTGGCGGTGGTCACTAGCCGAAACGGAGACGAGCTATGCAGAGAGACAAGACCGGGGGATTTCTTCGACTAGTACTTCTACACCCCCAATTCCTCCCCTTCTTTTTTTTTTGCTTTCTTTCTTTCTTCCTTCCCCAGTTTTGTACTCAATTCACATCTGGCCAGGCTGATCGCCAATCATGTCGCGGCCTTTCCCTGCGGTTCCCGCCGTGTTCCGCCCCGTATGGCGGCGGAACTTCTCCGCGTCCACCTCGCAAAGAGCTATTAACAAGATCTGCCCTTCGGCTCAGGAAGCCATCAAGGAAATGAAGGGTGCCTCCACCGTTCTGGTCGGAGGTTTCGGTTTCTCGGGTGTCCCCAACACATTGATCGATGCTGTGCGCGATCGCCCGGATATCAAGGATCTGACTGTCGTTTCTAACAATGCTGGCATGCCCGGTCGTGGTCTTGGTAGGTCCAATGGCACCGGAGACATACCGGACGGCTTCATTCTGACTGTGAGCAGGTCAACTGCTTGAGTCCAAGCAGATCACCAAGATGATTGCGTCTTTCATCGGTGAAAACAAGGTCTTCGAGAAGATGTACTTGAACGGTGATCTCGAATTGGAATTGACTCCCCAGGGCACTATCGCAGAGAAGTGCGCTGCTGGTGCTTCTGGTGTCCCTGCTTTCTATACCCCCGCTGCTTATGGAACTATCGGTATGTTTGCGCATTGCTGTCAGAGGATGAATCCAGCTAAGCAGGGACATAGTACAAACTGGTGAACTCCCCGTCCGCTACAACAAGGATGGCACCGTGGCCCTCACGTCCAAGCCCAAGGAAACCCGCGAATTCAACGGCAAGCAATACCTCCTGGAAGAATCGATTTTCGGTGACTACGCCCTGGTCAAGGTCCACAAGGCCGACAAGCTGGGCAACTGCCAGTTCCGCAAGGCTATGAACAACTTCAACGAGGCCATGGCCAAGAACGCCAAGTACACCATCGTCGAGGCCGATGAGATCGTCGAGGTTGGCGAGATCGCTCCCGAGAACATCCACATCCAGAGCATCTACGTCAACAAGGTCATCAAGAGCACCGGCGAGAAGCAGATCGAGAAGCTCACCTTCGCCAAGGACCCCAGCGAGTTGCTCCAGGCTGGTGACAGCGCCGCCACCGCCCGCCGCGAGCGCATCGTCAAGCGTGCCGCCAAGGAGTTCCGCGATGGCATGTACGTCAACCTCGGTATCGGAATGCCCCTGATTGCGCCCGCCTACCTCCCCGAGGGTGTCGAGGTCGTCCTCCAAGCCGAGAACGGTATCCTGGGTCTGGGTGGCTACCCCCAGCCCGGCCAGGAGGACCCCGACTTGATCAACCCTGGCAAGGAGACTGTCACCTTGGACAACGGTGCTTCTCTCTTCGGTTCCCACGAGAGTTTCGGTATGATTCGCGCTGGTCGCATTGACTTGACTATGCTCGGTGCTCTGCAGGTCAGCCAGTACGGAGGTGAGTGATCCGCCAAAATCCGGGTTTACGTCGATCGCACTTGCTAATTCGGGTTTCTCCAGATTTGGCCAACTTCATGCTTCCCGGTAAGGTCAAGGGTGTCGGTGGTGCCATGGACTTGGTCGCCAACCCCGAGAAGACCAAGGTTGTTGTTACTATGGTAAGCACGCCTGGCCCCCCTTTAATCTTCAATGCAGTCACTAATCAGCGTCGCAAAACAGGAACACACCGACAAGAAGGGCAACCCCAAGATCTTGGCCGACTGCACTTTCCCCCTCACCGGCCCCCGCTGCGTGTGGAAGATCATCACCGATCTGGCCGTCTTCGAGGTCAGCCCCACCGAGGGTCTGACTCTGGTCGAGCACGCCGAGGGCGTGACCGTCGAGGAGATCCGCAGCAAGACTGCTGCTCCTTTCAAGGTCGCCGAGGACCTCAAGCCCATGCTGTAAAAAAATTTTAAGGACCTAGAGAACCCTACCTAGTACCTCTTGATAGAATTTGTGTATATAATGTGAGAATGACCTATTGATTACAACCAACTGGACACGAACTGGACAAACCAATTTAGATCTACCCATCATCCTTCCTACCAACTTGGAACTCTTCACATAAACCCTATATCTGTCATAGTCCAGATATTTAGTTATCCACATCAAGAACAAGAACAAGAACATAATGATTCCCCCCATCACACCCATCCATCACCCTAGAAGTAAAAAAAAAAAAATCCCCGGAGGGAAACTCAATGCCCCGTCGTCGACCGATTCTTCGACCCGGTCGTCCCATAATGATCCCGCTCCGCATGCAACACCCGCTCATTGTTCATCCGTCTCGCGGCGGCGACATTCGGCGCGTCGAACGCCAGCTGCTGCTGCTCGCTTTCGTTCTCGTTCTCCTCCCGCGCCTTCCACGCGTTCTCGTAGTCGTCGATCGGGGCATCGTCGCGCACGAACCCGTCGACCTTCTTGGGCTGCAGCGGGGGCGAGTTGATTGGTTTGGAGGGCATTTTTTTTTCGGGTGGTTTCTTTTGAGCAAGTGTGTATGTGCGCGCGCGCTTGGTGGTTGGTGGTGAGATACGGCAATGTAAGATCAAGAATTCTGAATAGTGGATTGTGTAATGGAAGATTGTTTCTTGAGGATTGTTTGCTACTGGAAGGGAAAGAGATACCGAGTACGGTAGGACGGGGGTATATATGCCACCCTTTCCCCCCCTCATTCGAAAGGCAAGGGTATGACTGGGGAATGAGATCATGCTACTCTCATAGCCAACACGCATAGATAACTGGTCGAAAGGCTAAGGATATTGTATCATGATGGATGGCAAATGAAGAGGTCTTTCATTGCATGATTGTGTGTCAGGGGGGGATGGCGTCATGGCGATGTAAGGTGGTCTGGTTTCGATAACTCGTGCATTGGGCGGAGTGCGGTCAGTTTGTAGCAGAGAAATACTGTACAGTCGAATGCGACGCAGAAGTCTGGGCGGTATTGAAGTTCTTGACAGCGGATGACCTTTGGAGTCAGTTCTGGGTCGTGGTGAAGTGCCGCTATGCGACTATTTGAAGCGGGTATACAATGCCTTCCTCTTCAATCAGCCACAAAGGACTAACTAATGTCTATCTACCGACTCGGTTGCATAAATAGTTAGCGGTCGAATTAAAGGATATTAGCTTGAGATCCAAGAGTATCGCGACTGGTCCAGAACCCCTTCCAAGTTGCATCACTTAACATGCCATCCCCGCATGTGGGGTTCGTCGTGGGGCCCGAGCGACTGGCCTAATTGACGGTCTACGGGTATCTTGTCTTATACTACCACCCGCCGATGGCTTTGTCAGACGGGAACAAGAATAAGTAGTTTTTATTTCGTATTGCTCTATTGTCAAGAATGAATGGCTACGCATCATGGGAACTGAAAGTATCAATTTACGTGCGGGAAAGCTTTGAAGAATTACATTGCACCGTCCACAGCATGACTCCTGCGAATCCCAAGGCTAATATATGACAATCGGAAAAGAATTCCATCGAGGTATATTTATGTGTGTGTATATGCTCCTGCCCGTCACTACCAAAGATATTGCTGCTGAAAACTCACAGAAGGTGCGCCCCTCCATAAACTCGGTGCCTGCGGTGTGTTCAGCCCATGCCCCCGCAAGTGATCCGACTGGGAACAACTGATACGAGGGAGCTGTATGGCGGGAAACATCGGACCAGGATGCGGCTCGGCCTCCCTCTCTCTATACGCCTCGGGGTGGTTCTCGAGGCTACTTATCGGTTCTTTCACCGGTTCGCTGACTTCGTCCAGTCTCGCATATACGTTGGCTCGGTATGGGGTTAGCGGTGGAAGCTCTGACCTGGACGCAGCCGCCGGCCGATAGTCGCTGGGTTCGTGTGAAGTTTCCCTCAGGGGTTCACTATCCCTGGAATTGAGGATGTCGGACACGCTCGTGACCGCCCGGTCCGCCGAGTTTCGTCCTGAGCCCGTTCGTTGTTCTTGATTCAGGCAGTCCTGCTGCCACGCTCGGACATCCTGTACGCTGTTGAGAGGAAATTGTCTCCAGTACTCCGTTCCTCGTTTCCCCGATCGCGAGGACGGTGTATACGACGGCGGAGGACTTCGGGCCGCGGTTATGCCGGAATGGAAATCTGACTGGGCATTATGTATCGAGGATGATATTTGGGCGTCGGACATGTGTGCCAGGAATTTTAAAAGCAGAGATTCGGTCTCTTGGAGTCGGTGCTCGAGAGCTTCGATGTAGCCTTTGGCGGGGCCTCTGTAGGGATGTTAAGCCTGTCAACTTGGAAAGTGGCTGAGGGTAGAAACAGTGCGTCGGCGTACCGTTTCAGTTGTTCGGGCCAATCGCAACGCCGGTTGTGCTGATGACATTGTGTGCAGATCGGTCTTTACCACCATGGTAATTAGCTCTGAGATGTCTTTTTTCACTTTCCAACAAAGTCTTTCGGGTGGGAGCGAGTGGAAGCTGCTCACTTATTTCCATTGCACTGCGGATTGCGGGGTTCACGTTAGAATCGCATCTCCCGATAAGAACTTAACCCAGTTGATAGCAAATGAATGGGTGGAGCTTACCTTCTGCTTCCTGAACCGGCAGGAATTGCATGCCACGGTGATCCGAGAGACTTTGGTCGCTTTGCTCGGGGCCATTTCTTCAGGCAGAACTTATTGCAGCAGCAACACAGATAGAGATCCTGGAAAAAGTTTGGACTGCAGGCCAAAGTCGCGCGCCTGTGGGAATTCGGGGAAGTCTACCTTTCTTGCCCCATATTATTATCGCATGGAGGAAGTCGCAAAACCCCCCGATTCGGCTAAGTGCGGGAAGCAGTGGGGAAGTCGCCGGCTGAACGGTTAGCCGACTCCTGCTTTTCCTGCCCTGCATGGATCAACGATCATCCTCGTGGATTTTGTATCCCTGGTAGATGATGTCGTAGGCATCACATCCACTCCGGGGTAAAGTGGTCTTTGATTGTTGGAACAATTGTGATAGCTTTCGACCATTGTTCTTGAGAGAAGCAATATCTACAGCTGTGGCCATAAGAGAATTTGAACAGCTGAATACGGTAGGCTATACGAACCATTGCCGTAGTCATGGATTAGATAACGCAGAATGACTCCAACAATACTGTACCAGAAGCAGCTACATACTCATATGTTTGGCTCGATTTAAGATTCTGGTTTAGCTGGATGTCAGACGGAGAGACCTATCAACATAGTCTCGGGTGCAGTCCGAGTGGATATAGATCACCAAAATCAGAATGGATGAACTTTCAGGCAGAACGTATACGAAGTACGGTGTATAAAGATTCGACAAGGAATGAGGGGGTACTACATGCTGACGACTAATCAAACAACACTTGATCTGCTCGAGCAAGCTACCCTCCTTGTTAAACAGAATGGCTGAGAAGACTTCATACCGGATTGCATCTATTCCCGGTGACGGAGTTGGCTTGGAAGTGGTGAAAGCGACCATTGAAGTAGTCAACAAACTCGCGCAAACCCTCGGTACCTTTGATATTGAATTCGAGCATATCCCGTGGGGAACAGACTACTACAAGCAACACGGTCGATATGTGTCCGAAGATGCCTTAGATATTCTGCGGAAGTTTGACGCAGGTTTGTTCGGCTCAGTAGGGCATCCAGGTAATTGGACCCGTTCCCTGCTAAGAAGCGCCTGAATAGCTGCCGGATCTGTGCAGTAGAGCTAACAGAGAGCCCCTAGATGTCCCTGATCATGTCTCCCTTTGGGGCCTCCTCCTAGCCATCCGCGGACCCTTACAACTCTATGCCAACGTACGTCCCGTACGCACATTTCCGGGTACCAAGTCCCCCCTTAGCACTGCAGCCGAGGGAATCGATTGGATGCTTGTGCGAGAGAACTCAGAGGGCGAATACTGTGGGCAAGGCGGAATCAGTCATATCGATCAGCCATGGGAAACTGCGACGGAGGTGGCGATCTTCACGCGAGTCGGCATTGAGAGGATCATGCGTTTTGCCTTCGAAACTGCACGCTCGAGACCGCGCCGTCATCTCACGGTGGTGACTAAGAGCAACGCCATGCGATATGGCATGGTGCTCTGGGACAAAATAGCAGAGGAGGTATCCAAAGACTTCCCCGACGTGACTTGGGACAAGATGTTGGTAGATGCCATGACTATCCGTATGGTGAACAAACCGGAGTCACTGGACACTATCGTGGGCACCAACTTGCACATGGATATTCTGTCTGACCTTGCTGCTGGCTTAGCAGGGTCAATTGGCGTGGCTCCCTCGGCAAACCTCGACCCTACTCGGAAGAATCCTTCTATCTTTGAGCCGGTACATGGCAGTGCCTTCGATATTATGGGGAAGGGCGTCGCCAACCCGGTGGCTACTTTCTGGTCTGCTGCCGAGATGCTGCAATGGCTGGGCGAAAAGGAAGCTGCGACGAAGTTGATGGAATGTGTTGAGAATGTGTGCAGAGCTGGTATTTTGACTGCTGATCTTGGAGGCACGGCCAACACTCAGGGCGTTGTTGATGCAGTTAAGAGGGAGATTGAGCAGCTTAAGGCAAATTAGCCTTATACCTGATAGAATCCTTAGAGCCGAATACAAGATACAGTATACATCACTGCCGTCTAGAATCTTACATAGTACTGAGTAAGTTGTATACTACGGGTGGTAGACGCTGAGGCGGGATCTGACTAAGCAGGTCGGCTTTTCTGCTCCGGCCGATCTCCGAGTCATCTCGATGGACCGACAGTCGCATCGATTTCGACCTTCAAAATCCTGATATCCTTCGAATCCGGATATAATTATATAACTCATCATTAGGACGGGCATCATGCTCCTGCCAAGATGCAGTCCCCAGTCTCCGCGTCTGGCCTGACGGAAATCGGGTCCCTGACTGCCCACTCACGGGAAGAAAGTGAGTTTGTCGGCAGCTCCAGCGGCGTTTACTTCATCAAGACAGTCCGACGGGCTTTCTCCCACAGTCTGGACCCATTGGATGCTTCGTCTTCCAGCCAGGGGTTCCCTCCTCCGGAAGATACTCTAGTTGGCAGTGAGGGCTTGCCATCTGCCCGAAGATCAGCGTCAATGCCTGCCGCAACATCGCCAACCGCTCAAGGGAATAGCCATGCCTTGCGACAATGGAGATATGACCCCAGGGTGGCAGCAATCCTGGGGAAGTTTCCACCACTGGATACAGCTCGGGAGCTGATGATGATGTACTTCAAAGTTTGGCATCCGCTGTTCCCTTTCTTGCACGGTCCGTCGTTCTTGAACGCCATGGAAGCGTTATGCTCCGAACGTCATCAGTCGGCCACCGAGGTTCTGCCTCTAGAGGAGCATCGAAGTGCTTGCTGGACGACCATCTTCCAATGTGTCTTCAATCTGGCTAGTCTACTGTGTCCAGAGATTGACTTTCCTCGCGAATCGCGCATCGAGTCATCTAACAGCATGCATGCTCTGCTTGGAACCCTATCCTGCAGACATGATATCGTCTCTGTGCAGGCGCTGCTCGCCTCTCAACTATATCTCGTAGCTAAAATGTCACTTCGGACAGCCTCCACCGTCGGTGGCTGTATGCTTCGATCCATACTGCATGCGGGCCTTCATCGTTGTCCATATCGCTATAAAGAACTTACCTCTCATGATCGGCAGCTACGCAAGCGGATCTTCTGGTCTGCATACGCCATCGATCGATACTTGAGTCAAACGCTTGGTCTGCCTCTTGGAATCCAAGACTCCGATATTGACGTTTGCCCGCCTTTGGCTTCCGAGATCCACATCCCAGGTTCTTATGAGAGGATCAATGCCATCAGACGCGCCGTTACCCCCAGCACTGCAGGATCCTCGCCCATCTCTACAGAAGACCGTTTGCGCAGGTTCGAGAGATCAGCGTATGGTCAACAGCCACTGTCCGCAACACCAAGACATTCCGCCCAAGACAACGAACAGCATCGGCGAGAGCTCGTGTTCGCAAGTTACGTCGAGTCCGGGAAACTAACAGGGCGCGCGATCGAGCTGTTCCACAAGTCCATCCTGGTCCGCTCCGTCCCTCACAGCTCGGTGCTCTTCCTCATCACCGACGTCCACAAGTGGTGGAATAGTCTATCCATCGAGTCTCTCCAGCAAGGAGGGACCCATCAACCTGTCCCACCACCACCACCACCACCACCACCACCACCACCACCCTCCTCCTCCGAGGATCCCAACCCAGCAGCAACTGTCACGACAAACCCCAACGCCCCATTCAACTTCGGCCCCTTCTTCACCGTCCTCTACCAACACCTCATCCTCCTCATCAACCGTCCCTCCCTCTCCCTCAACCCGTCTAGCCCGGAATTCTGCTCCGGCCTGCAAACCTGCATTGGCGCCGCCCGCGAGATCCTCGCAGCCTTGACCACCCAGCAAGAAAGCGGACAGGCGTTCTTCTGGCCCGGGTTCCTGTCGGCCGCATGGATGTCCGGTCTCGTGCTCGCGTTCGCATGTCAACTCCGCCAATACGTCTTGTCCAAAGGATCCCAGTATGTCACATCTTATTCCCACCCATTCACCCTCTACTGTACATTACAAGATTAATTCATCTCCTTACAATCCTTCCAACCTCCAAACCAACCATCCCCCCCCTCCCTCTCTCTCCACATCTCCACCCACACAAACTAAATCCAACCAAACAGAGAAATCTCCAAATGTCTCACCATCCTCGAAAGCATGGCCCACCAATGGGAAACCGCCAAACAATGCCACAAATCCCTCTCCCTTCTCTCCCGCTACATCCACCACCACCACCATCACCACCAGAACAACACCGGTCCCACCGCCCGACGACCCTCAACCGATACACCACCCATCACGCGCAAACGCAACTTAGACAACCATTTACAGCAAGCATCAGACCTCTCAGGGAGCAGTCGACATCGCAGACCTCCTCCACCTTCACCACTTCCCCCTTTTGGTGCAGCAGCAGCAGCAGCAAGCAACAATCCCCCGTCAAACAACCGCCTGTCTGCCGACGGTCCCATCACGACGACCACCGGGCCAGCCAACACCACGAATAACAACAATAATGATAATGACGAGGGAATTGCCCGACATCCCACGGCCACACGCAACAGCAATAGCCAGGTGGGATTATCGCTGGACCCAGGACTCTTGAGGGCAGACAATTACGATCGATTCACGTGGGGCGACGATGACGACCCCGGTTCCATCGCGGGGTTCGCGGCCATGGACGGCGTGGATGCTGCGGACATGATGGATCTATTGCAGGGGAGCAATTTTGACAACCTGGCGGATATGTTTGGACAGCAGTTCCCTACCTTCTAGATTGATGGATGGCATGCACGCCACGTGGGGTATATATACTGTACACATTCCTGGATGCCTCCACGTGGGCAACGTGGGCATCTGGTGAATCTCATGATACTCAAACTACAAAACTTGGCTAGGATATTTTACTAGAAGAATTCAAAAAACCAGAGATCGTAAAGTCCCGTGAGGAAGTCATAAGTCTATATTACACTCGTGTCATACCATCGGATACGAGGTAGGTTGAAGTTCTGACGGGATAGGAAGAGATACAAGCACTATCGCAACCTCCTTCCCCTGTCTGGTTCATAAAATGAGAATGAAAAAGACGATAACAACCATGGCATATCCGAAGCAACTTTTATCTCCGATCCCAGTCTTGTAACAGTTCGAAGCTATTTCCCCGCTTGCATCTTGGAATCAACCTGTTTGCGCGCAACACCGTTTCCAGCAATTGAATCGTGAAAAGAAGAAGTCGACAGCAAAGGATGCTCGGTCCCTTGAAGAGTGGGAAAGAAAAAAAATTGAATGGTATGAGAAGGATCCAATAACATGTTGCTCACTGAACAAGGCCCGACGACACCACGCACAAAGAAACTTTTAGTAACCCAGGGATATCAGACCAGGACGGAAAAAAAAAAAAAAAAAAGGTAGAAGAAATAGAGGAAGAGGGGTGAAGAGGTAGGGTAATAAAGAAGTTAAGAAAATGGGAGATAAATCGTTAATTGAGTAGGAAGGAGTAATCGAGGTCATCAAAAGTAGGTAGGCATTGAGACGAAAATTTACGACTTGTTCTCTTCGGTCGCAGTCTCCTTGGCCTCCTCCTTGGGCTTCTCAGCCTCGGCGGCAGCCTCGGGCTCACCACCCTTGTTCTTCATGTACTCATCATAAACGCTGAGGGCCTCGTCGACCTTAGCGCGGAGAGCCTCCTCGTCCTCGAGCCTATAGGAGTGGGTATTAGCCTTGTTCCAAGCGTTCCAAGATGGAATGTGCGGGGTATGAATTCGAGGGTATACTCACAGGCTAAGGAGCTCAGTGTTCTCCATCTCGAGAAGCATACCGGTGATCTTGCCGGCAAGCTCGGGCTGCTGGGCCTGGATCTTGGGGTAAAGAGCCTCACCAAGCATCTGCTTCTGCTGAGCAGGAGGAGCAGCGCCAAGGGTCTGGGCGTTCAAACCGCCAGTAGCGCCCTCCTGGTTGGCAGCGGGCTGAGCAGCGTTCTGTCCGCGAGCACCCTGGCCAGGACGGATCTGTCCCTGCTGGAGGGAAACACCGCCGCGACCGTAGCCGGGACCGCCGCGCATACCCTGACCCATGGGCATACCAGGAACCTGACCACGGCCACCAGCGCCGCGACCAAACTGAACCTGGCCCATCTGAGGGTAACCCATGCCGTTAGGAATGCCACCAGGGCCCTGCATGGCACCCATGGGAATGCCTTGGGCGAAGTTGGGGGGCATCTGCTGGTTGGGACCCATGCCGCGACCACCCTGCTGACCGGGGAAGGGACCGGGGTACTGGCCAGGGCGTCCACCGGGGATACCCATGACCATGCCGGGCTGAGCGGGGAAGGGCATACCACCACGCTGGCCACCAGCGGGGATGAAGCCCTGCTGACCGGGGCCGTAGAAGACGGCGGGCTGCATGTACTGGAAACGAGTTAGTTTGAGGATCGAGAGGGAAGGAATGAAGAATAAACACGTACAGGCTGGGGCATGCCAGCGGCAGCGGCGGCCTGCTGCTGTCTGATGGTGTTGCGAGCTTGGATGCTGGCCTCAAGCTGGCTTCTGCGGACATCCTTGCGCTGAGCAAGAGCGACGTAGAGGGGCTTGCCGTTGATCATGCGCTGGTTCATCTCAGTGACAGCCTTGGAAGCCTCGTCGGGGCTGCTGAAGCAGACGAAACCGAAGCCCTTGCTCTTGCCAAGACCCTTCTTGTCGGACTTCTTGGACTCCTTGTCCTTCTCATCGGAGGACTCGCTAGCCTTCTCCTCGGCCTTCTCGGCGGCCTCCTCGGCCTCCTTCTCGTTCTCCTTGTTGGCCTCCTTCTCTTTACCAGCAGAGTCGGGAGACTGGGTGCGTTCACCGTTGACACTGTCGCGCATGACCTTGGCGGAGGTGATGGTGCCATAAGGTCCGAAGAGCTCGCGAAGCTTCTCGTCATCGACGTCATCAGTCAAGTTCTTGACGTAGAGGTTGACACCCTGGTACTTGGAGGCCTTCTCCAAGCGGGCAGCCTCGTACTGCTTGCGCAGCTCCTCCTCACGCTCGTGCTTCTTCTGGGCACGGCCGACGTAGAGCTTCTGGGTGCGGATCTCCTTCTCGTTCATCTCCTCGACGGCGGCCTGCGCGCTGTCGTGGGTGGCGAAGTTGACGAAACCGAAACCACGGCTCTTGCCCTCCTGGTCACGGCTCAGGGTCGCAGAGGTGATCTCACCGAACTTCTCGAAGAGCTTGCGGAACTCCTCGTCATCGATATCGGCGTCCAGGTTCTTGATGTAGACGTTGGTGAAGTTGGCCTTCATCTCCTCGAACTTGCTCTGACGATCCTTCTTGGAGATGTGGTGGCCGACGAAGACCTTCTTGTCGTTCAACAGCATGCCGTTGACGTGCTTGATGGCGTTGTTGGCAGCCTCGGCGGTCTCGTAGTGGACGAAACCGTAGCCCTTGGAGTTGCCGAACTCATCCTGGGCGACCTTGCAGCTCAGAATGTTGCCAAAAGCAGCGAAGGTATCGTGAAGAGCCTTGTTGTCGATGGCACTGTCGAGGTTCTTGATGAAAACGTTGCCCTGACCAGTCTTGCGGAGGGCGGGGTCACGCTGGGACCACATGATCCGGCAGGGCTTGCCCTTGATCAAGGTGTAGTTAAGGTCCTCGAGAGCGCGCTCACCGTCGGCGGTGTTGTTGTAGTTGACGTAGGCATATCCGAGCGAGCGTCTGGTAACAGCGTCACGGCAAACACGGATAGAGGCAACCTGGCCAATGGAGGAGAAAAGCTCATAGAGCATAGCCTCAGTGACGGAGGGGTCGAGTTCACCGACATAGAGGGAGGCGGAGTGAGGCTGGTTGTTGTTGGGGGCAGGGGCGGCGTTCTCAACAGCGGTGACCTCGGGGGTTTCACTGGGGGCAGCAACAGCAGCAGGGCTGACCTCGGGGGTGCCGTTGACAGTGTTGTCGGTGGCAGGGGTGGGAGCAGCGTCGGAAGACATTTTTATGATGTTACTGTTGAGAGAGAAGGCAGATTAGCCGAAGTTCAAGCTCGGCTCAATTTGAGCCAGGCAGCGGAAGCGGATGGATAAGCGTGCAATCACAGGGTTTCGGCTGTAAGCGAGAATCACAAGACACAAAGTATAGCTTCATCCACTTCAAGTGGTGATGGGAATCAGATGGGCAAATTTGACAAGCAAGAAAGATGCGCGATGTCAGAGAGAGACAGCTGCTATCTTGCTTTTCTACCGATACGATGAAAAGCCAGGCAAAGTGCTCTGCGGTAGTGGGGGAATCAAAGCAACAGACGTACAACCTAGATGAGACACCAGGTGAGGTCTATCAAAGACAGTCGAGATGACGAGGATACAGATGACAATAAGATGAAAAGCAAAGCAAAGCGACCCAGGATCACAAGGATGTAGACAGGAAGTAGTCGACAGCAGTGAAGAAGAGAAGGTGAGGTGAGTTGAAAGTGGGAAGATTTCTCCAGCTGCACGCACGCACGCACGACCGCACGCGCACACACACACGCACACACCGCACAACTTGGAAGTAGTGTGGAAAAAAGTGACAGTCGGGGGAACAGAACACACCACAAGATCACAAGCACGAGAGATTGAAGGAGGGGAAGAGGAGGGGAGAGGGGAGCTATACTTTAGTTTTTTTGTAGGTTTTCCGGTTTTTTTTAGAGGTTTTTTTTTCCGATGGGGGAATCGAAAATAAGGGAGAGAGAGATATGGGAAAAGGAAGAGAAGAAGAGGGGAAGAGAAATTGCTGGGGATGAGGCAGCAAGAAAGGCTTTTATTATTTTTTGGGGGAAGGAGGAAAAGAAAGAAAAGCGGATGGAAGAGGAGGAGAAGGAAAGAGAGAGAAGAGAGAGGGAGAGAAAAAAGACGGCGAAGAATGAAACAACCTCTTTTTTCTCTTTTTTTTTCTTTTTTTTTTTTTTTCCGTCCTTTTTTTCGTCTCTTTTTTTCTTACTCACTCTTATTTTTTTTACAGTGTCTGTTCTGGAAAAGTCAAAGAGAGAATTTTCTCAGACTCTCTTTGGGTCAAACGCCCAGGCTAGTCCCTTTAGAGCGATAGTCATCGCCGCCTCAACGGCTCTTTACGGGATGGTGGGTTTTTCTGCCTGTCGTTTGTTACCGGAAATTTTAGCTTCCCAGCGGCAAAGAAACGCAAAAAAGTCAACCAAAGCAAAAGCAGTGGATGGGCCACCACCAACAGGTTCCATCCATTGTTCCCACTAAACCCCCACTATACGCCTCAGGTGTCCAGGTTGACACCTGAAACACCTGAATCTCTATAGCCTGGCACTGATACTAATGAATAAATACCCCATGATAGATTACTGTACTTATTAACAGTATGGTTCTTATCTGTCATGATTCCCGAAACCTCTAAGTGGACAAGAGCTGTTCCGGAAATACTCATCATCCACACGTACTCTCTCTCTCATGTGCAATACACGACCAAATGAGCAATTCGCAAACAACAAAGATGAAGCACGACAAGAACAATGAAACACAGGTCACCATGACGCCTTAGCTATGCCACTGAAAAAAAAAACAAAGAGGTCAGAATGGGTACACGCCAAACACACGCGTGCAAAAGCTCTATTGACAAAAACAGTCTCCAAACTCAGCTCAAGTCGAAGCCGGCTCCAGAGTTCACAGCATAAAGAAGTTTCTCCCGCAAGACGTCAGCATTACTGTACCGTGGAAGCTTGAGCAGATTGACACAGGTGCTGGTACTAGGAAGTCGCTCCTGATCCTCACTCGAGTCGCGGATGCTGAAGCGGGGGTTGAGATGGCTGAAACCCAACAAAGGCGCCCGAGGAGTCGAGGTGACAAACCGAAGCACGTTCTGTCTTTGTTCATTGGTCATCTTCTCCATCACTTCCCAGAATAGCTTGATCGTAGGGTGCTCTTCGTTGTCATCT